GAACAATTACATCGACTAAGTTGCTGCTTCTCATCCAAACCTTAATGTCACATCTCAGTTCATCATTTTAGTATCATTTTAGTCATTTTAGTGAGATTTCAAATGACTTAGATATGTATATCTTGATGTACAGATGGGAAATGTATGTTTAAAATCATTTCGCAAAGATTACAATTGTTAATATGCTCACACTAATGAAAAGCCATTTTCAGGATACAGTAAGAGAGATGAAATACTTTACAATTGCTTGCATACTAATACTAATGAGAACACATTATAGGGAAACACCAAAAACAGTGATGAGTCCAATAAGAGCACTCCACTGCCTGCAGCTCTCTGAAATAAGCAAGTTTTAATGTTCAAGAGTAATGCTTAATTATCCATACATGGACATTTACAAGCATATTGCCACAGGGCTCCAGTTTCACAACAGTCCCCAATCTAATAGAAGATAGCATTATTGCGTGCAGTCAGAATTATTCACTGCATTACCCACGATTCATAGCATGTATTAACACAAGCAATTTCATGCATATGGATACAGTGGGTCTTAGCAGGGGAGCTCCTGATTGCTCTGAAACTAATTTCACAATCATTAGTTTTGGTGGTGGTGTGAGTGACAGAGTGTATTTACCAGATTTCAGAAAATGACAAGTTCCACCAGCTTTGTGGAGGAAGTTGTACAGATGAAAGTCTGATCGATTTGAAGCTCTGTGTTTTCAAGAGAAACTGTGCAGTGGCTGCACTGCTGTGGGTTAAAGGAAATTTGCTTTGGTTTCCAAACTTTTCCTTTCCAAACACAAAAAGGACACAGTATATATGATAAATAATCATAATTACTTCTTGTCTATCACTGATGATATCAATCTGCACCCATAAAATAGATATTTAAGAGTCAAAGAGGGAGAGGTCCTTTGTAAATACAGGGCGAGGGGCTTGAGGTGCAGGCCCAACAGAAAGCCATTTTAGCCTGGAGGTGAAGTTAATGAATCATGGCCAAGTGCTGCATTCCATCCATATGTAAGATGAGGAGATATTCTGCAAAGCCTCTGAATCAACTTAATGCTGTTATGGACCATTGTTCACAATAAACATGTAAATTGTGTTTATGGAATAGCATATAAATCAATGGCACTGATTCACAAATAAATCATAATCACAGTGAGTCCCAACCATATTTGTGCATAACCAAAAAATGCAAAAACAAAAACAAAAACACCCCCCCACCCCCCCACCCACACACACACACACACACACACACACACACACACAGGGTACGGCCTATTGTATATAAATCACTACCAAGAAAACACATTTTTACCAATAGGTTTATTTCACAGCAGATATTTTGAAAAGCATGTTACTGATAGCATTAACAGTGGATCTGTTATTCCTAAGCCAGTAAGTCCTGACAGTGTGATAGTGAACCAGCATGAACGATACCAGGACTGAACTAAATTTACATCTGCCTTCCTACTGTAACACGTCAAAATGTCTTCAGTGGAGAAAAAAAAAACTATAGAAGAAATTTTTCCTTTTCTTCAGAAAATTCAGAATGGTGATACAATAAAACATTTTTTTTTTGCATATTTTCCAAAAAATCAGCTGATCTTTGTGTCATGGCATATGAGTACATTACATTAACTCTTGTAGTGATAAAAGGAAGCCAGTAGGTGGCGATACATTATATGTATTGTTGCTACTTGTATTTCAGCAAATGTTCCAGTTTAGCTTGTGACTATTATGGATTCATGTGTTAATCTAACCTACAGTATATGCCAAAGATTTGGTTGCATCAGAATAATATTGAAAAATAATACTGTAAAATAAGTGCAATACCATAATTCACAACTCATAGGATTGTAGCTCATATTCTTCTTAGATTTTATGTGTTAATGGTAAAGCAAAAAATATTCAATTTTCTAATAAGGCGCTCCCTATAGAGGGTTTATAAGTCACAACTAATGGCGTTATTATCGGTTAATAAATAATTTACCAATGCTTTATAGATCCATTAGTGGCCAATTATGAGAAAAAGATTTGGGTTGCCATGCTGTGAAAAATGCCTTTTGCTGATGTTGACCTTTTCTATCTGGTAATATAATAATACACTTACAAATATTGGTGATCCATTAATAGATGCTGATGGGTTTGTAGTAAGTTCTCACGCTGGCATTTGTAAATGCTACTGTTATGTTGTAAATAAAAGGTTTTTGATCTAGATGCTCTGTAAATGTTTCCCTGAAGGTAAGTGGTCTGACAGTTTTGGTTTGGTGTGTCATACTGGAAGAGGATAAACACAAACCTGGCAACCCTGTAATTGTTCTAATCAAGGGCTTGATTGATATATAAAACATTGCTGGATGATTTATTAACCACTGAAAAAAAAACATCAGTTACAAGCCCTTTATAAAGTGTACTTTATTAGACAGTGCCACTGCAAACTTACATCTGCATGTCAGACAAACACAAAAGGAAAGAAATATACAGAGTGGAGAGAAATGCAGTGAGGAGGCGATGTGATGATGTATCACCTCAACTGGTCTGAAGCCAGAGGAAGAGGATTTGAAGGTGCTTTGGTTCAGGCCAGAGGGAAGGCGGGAGGAGCGAGGTCACTACTGCCCCAGATTTGGAGGTGCCACTGTCTGGGGAGAGATTGATGGCTGCAAGCAACAGATAACAGCTTGCAGTGTGAAGGGAGATTAAAAAAAGAGGGAGAGATTGTAGGGAGTAGCGGACCTCACCCTTCTGGGGCTGTGCTGAACAGCCACGTCTGATTCTAACACACTGCAATTAGCTGCTGAGACAATTACAGGTTTGTGGAGGGTAAATGCGAGCTACTCTGATTTTCTTTTTTTTTTTAAATCATACAATGAAGACACTGGAAAGCTATACTCATAGCAGAGAGTATGTCTTTATAGCACAACTGTGATCACAACCAGATGAATAGTTGCCCTAAAAATTAGAATAATTTGAAAGAATTCATTAGTAACACTACAAATGTCACTACAATTTGTCCATATGGACACACGAAAGGCATATTTACTGTAATTGCTACTCCATCCTTGTCTAAGTATTCTGGCGACAGCAGCCCGGCTGATCAGGCCCCTTCCAACACATCCTGCTTGTTTCCCACATAGCCCATGAGTGGTCCATCACAATGCCATTGTTATCCATCAGACTGTCTGCAGTCATTACTTATTCAGCCAGCCGTCGTGCCTTTTGTCCAAAATCATTCTTCAGTCTGTCCCTAAGACCTTCTCCTGCGTGCTGCGGCCCATCTGCCCCCATCTACTGCACAAACCCCCCATTTCTCTCTCTAACACACACACATGCATACAAAAGCTCTCCACACCAGCTGTCCAGCTCCTGTCCCCTGGCAGTAAAAGGTGCCGGCCCTGGAGCAAACCATCAGAGTACACATGAAAGAAGTGGTCACCGCCCTTCAGCCTGTAGTTTATCAGGGGTAATGACAGAATAAGATGGATGCACTAATGTCCACACAAACTGCTGGTCCAGACTGTGCAGTAGAAAGTCTAGATACCATGTACTGAATGCAACAGTTGTCAACAGACTGACAAACACAGCATTGTAATATTCTGTATGTGTAAACACTCTAAGCAAGATCATTTATCAATTTTTATGTCAACAAAGCACAAGTAGACCTGAAATGATTAGTGGATTAATTGATTAATTGAAAAATACCATGGAACTATTTTGATAATCTATATTTTTCAAAAGTTCCAAAAGAAATTCCCTTAAAATTCCCACTTCAAAATTGTGAGGATTTACTTTGTGTAAACTGCATATTTTTGGCTTTCGCTCAGTTATTCAGACAAAACAAGACATTTGAGGACATCGTCTTCAGCTTCGGGAAATTGTCATGCCCAAGTTTGACTATTTTCTGACATTATATACACCAAATAATTAATAGTTTAATCAACACAATATTTGCCAGATGAATCCATAATGAAATGAATACTGAATTGATGAACACTGAAGGGTTTACAAGATGGGGATCTTGTCACTGTCACCGTCAGTGTTTATCAATGATCATTAGTATGAATAGGGCATATTTTAAGAAACACATAGTGTCTTTTAATATTATTTTTCAGGTGCCACTGCCAGGATAGCTATAATATTTACTGAAGAAGAAGGAAGTAAGAAGCCATGCCAAATACTTCCTTAAAAATAGACAGCAGTCATTAATGGGGGATATAAATAGAGAGAAGGAAAAGAGGCTGGTCCTGAACGAGATATTTATAGCACAGGCACACTGCTGTTTACTGGAGGCAGCAGCTAGGGGTGCACTTATGAATACCACCATAAAACCCCAAATACCATTGAATGCAGGGACATTTCTGGGAAGATGTATCTGCTGTGAAATTAAATCACTTATATGAGGGGATCAAAGGGATTACTCCTAAGGGTTTTCTATTCATGGAGACGGTAAATACAAAAGTTGGATCACTTTTCAGTGTTGACATATCTCTGATTACAACATGTTTTAGTTTCTTGCATCTCAACTTAGATGTATGTTGAATAGATGCATACATCAGGGTTTAAAGGGATAAAGTAAATCGCATGAAAGCATAAAGGAAACATGCCAGACAGTATCTGAATTGTTAATAGCATTTAACCAAAAGGAGCTTATCGAGAGAATGATTTCATCAAAGCAATTTCGTTCAGTTGTTTAATTGTTTTATCGAATTTAAAAGTCTAAGCAGGGAAAGGGACTTGCAAATTAACTGATTTGATTTATTTTTTCCCCATATAACAATGTTTAATTCAGCGTTTATACTGTAACGAGCGGAATTTTAGAGTTAAGATGCATATGTTGAGAAAACCCTTGCTTGAAGCCGGTGGAGGACAGACCAGCTGACTGAGGAGCAGCAGCAACAGCAACAACAGCAGCAGCAGCAGCAGCAGCAGCAGGGGGAGGAAGAGGAGGAGGGGGAGGAGGAGGGGCATACAGACAGCCTGGCTAGTGGAGGAGCTGCTCCACTCCAACTTGAACGGAGTGAACCTGCGACGCAAGCCGCCGCCGCTGCTGCTGAGCCCCCGGCAGCGACCAAGCCATTTGTCTGTCTGGGAGTTTAGCGAGCTAAGCTAACTAGCTGACTAAGTCGTTATCACAGGAACAACGAACTGTGCCGTTTGCAATTCTGGGCGCCAGAATTAAACCACAGTACTGTAACTAGTTGTTTTAGTTTCAATATAAAATGTCTATATTACCGTTCACTCCTCCAATCGTGAAGAGGCTCCTTGGCTGGAAGAAAGGAGAGCAGAACGGGCAAGAGGAGAAATGGTGCGAAAAGGCTGTGAAAAGTCTTGTGAAGAAGTTGAAAAAGACTGGACAGTTGGACGAGTTGGAAAAAGCCATCACAACACAGAATGTCAACACGAAATGCATAACCATACCCAGGTAACCACACAGACAGCGCAAACTAGCTTCCTCGTAGTTAGCTAACCTAGCAAGCTAGTACTGCTCATGACAGCTAACATTAGCCGATTAGCTGGCTAGTTAGCTTGAGCAGTCTCCTTTGATAACGTATCAACGTTAACTTAAACAGGTTAGGTACCAAAGTAATTAATGCGCAGGTAAAAAGTCTGATTGTTGCAGTGGGTTTTGATTGCATTGTTAGTTAGCTTTAGCCGCCACTGTAAAAACAATCATAGGTAGTAGCTAGAGCTAACATTAGCTGTTAAATGCAAACTTAACCCGCTTTTTCTGCTAGACCTTTTTATTTTGTTTTGTAAACACTTAACACCTAATTGGCATTTTGTCCGTCTGAAATACCGATACATGACAAACTGTTAACGTCTGTGGTTGAGTTGGTGCTATGAATGTCAGCTAACGTTGCTGCACAAAGAAGTGCAACCCCACACATTTAAGTCTGTTATGTCATACTCCAGCGTTAGTTTGCAGGACCGGCAGGACCGGTGGACCAGCGGTAACCTTCCCAGTTACAACTAAAATGTCACAATTGTGAAGGAATGTGAGGGACAGTTGTGTTTCTCATATGTGTAAGCAAGTTTCACCTGCTGACACGGTAGCCTGTGGTACATCTAGTGCTACATAAACAAGTGTGTCCACAGTTCACACGTGTGATGATCGGGAGAAGGGGTGGTTTGGCGAGGTAGACTTCTGACTCACGGAGGATGTTTAGACTGGAGTGTGTGCACTGTGGGAAAGCTGGAATAAGTGCTCGGTGGGGGATTCCCCTTATAAGATACCATCTGTCCGAAAACCAGTATAGTTTGACATATGAGGTAGATTTTTGGGGTGTGATGAAAGACGCGTGCATTCATACAGTTGTATTGTCAGTGGTCTGGGTGAGTCAGCAAGTGTTATTGTAATGTAGCTATGTTAATGTTATAGTATATGCAGTTCAACTAGTTTACTCATTGGACACTGTTTTCATTCAGTAGTAACACTGTAAATGAGACACTGTTAGCCTTGAATCCTTATTTCCACCTGTTGTCCTGGCCTAATTTTCAAATGTTATGTACTTTAAAATAAAGTGAAAATTGTTTACCATAAGCTTCAACGTTAACTCAGGGGGGCATAAAGAGACATAACAACACACAGTATACTGTAAATACATTACATCATTACTACAATGTGAACTAATTTTGGTGTTGGCACAGTATAGATTTCTTTGTCTCTTGTCCCATTATTCCTACATAAAGTAAATAAGGCAGGTTGACATCCTGGCCCTACTGGTAATAGGCAGAGTATAAGGAGCATGAATACACCCTTCAGTAACTTCTTTAATTGTTAATCATCCTTACATTTTTTTTTTCTTGGAATATTTCATCAGGCAGCTTGTAGGATTAATTGCTAATGAAACTGGGCGTCCTCTATAATGGTGTATATAGAAGTCAGAACATGGGTGGTAACTTACATTAAAAACCTTTTCTCAGTTCTTCGGAATGTGCTCGAGGCTCTAGGGAGGGTGTGGGCCACTGTTTGGATTGCGGTTCACTCTTGGTGGGTTCAGGGACTGTAAGTTTACAGAACAACAGCTGTCTTGCTATCTTTTGGGTATACAGTGATTCTGTGATACTGGTATATAGCAGGCCTACTTTGTGCTGTACTTTCATCATCTTCTCTAATGTGGCTTAGGGAGAAAGGGGTTGTCAGCATTTAAAAGTGGTCAAATGCAGACCTGAGATGCTTGCACCTACAGTGGACTCAGGCAGCAGGAAAATATTATGTATTAATACATCTGCAACATGTTAGCTTAGAGCAGATCAAGTGTCTGCCCTCTGCAGTATGTGGAGAGATTTATAACACTACCATGAACTTAGTGATTTTGATTGGTAAGGCAAAAATGCATATTCTTTCATTTTAACGAGTGTTGCAGTTTATTTCCACAGAATAAATGGAGCAATTAGCTTAGATCTTTCATAACTTCCTATAGTTATCTGTGGTGTAAAATTGTAGTGATGGGAAAGTGTGTCCAAACCTTCGACTGGTACTGCAAGTGATATGCTTTTTGATTAAAGAGAACACAGATGATTAAAAACAGATGTTTTTTTTTTTTTTTGCTTTTATTTGAAACTAGACAGTAGAGAGCTAGCAGATAATGAAGCAAGGGAGAAATGAAGAATGATATGCAACATGGTCTCCGGTTGGAATCAAACTAGGAATGTTGAAATCATAGCACTATGGATATTATGCATCTTAATCGTCAGGCCACAAGAGGCCCCCTTACAACAGTGTTGTTACCATTCTTCATGTGTCTATAAATGTGGGGGTACTGAGCAGTACACACTCATGTGTTTGTGTAGAATCATCAAAAGTGCTTGTTATGTTAAGTGTTACTTATGGAGTAAAACTCTTTGACAGAGGGTGGTTTCTCTCCCATTGAGGATATTATTAGGATAAGAGGTGTTGGGATGCTTGTGAGTTTTTGGCTGGCAGCTGTACAGTTGTTATTTCGTCTGTCAGATGAGAGGGTTTACTCCGTCCAGCTGTGTGTCAGAGTGGCCTCCATGTCAGACGAGTGACAAATCAGGGAGAAGAGTCACAGCCCAAACCCATCTCCACAGAGCCATGGGAATGACCTCAGCTGACCCAACAAATCCACCCTCTATGCAGGAGAGGGGGCTCGAAAATGAGTCTGCAGCCATCTCCTTTACAGTGGGTACTGATGTAGTAAACGCTTGAACTGATTAGTTTAAGCATGCAAAGGTGGTGGGCTGTGGTGTGTGTTTGGAGGATGTGGCCAACTATTAAGGTATCCAACTTCATGGGAACAGTGTCCGTCTCAGTCTGATTTAACTTTTTACCTGAGACATGCATTTTTTTTATGACTGGTAAAGACTGTGTCAAAGCATGTTGTTCATTTTAAACACACTAGTTAAAAATTCAGAGGTTATCTGCTGCTTGATGTGGCTGGCATGTTGCATGGAATTACAGAAAATGCTTCTGTGCTTTTAATAAAATGTTTCTTTCTGTAAGTGATCGTTTCAGCAAACATACACCTACCATAATAGTTAAGATAGACACGTTATTTGATTCAGTGCAGCAATCTATTGCTCATGTTAGATAGATAACACAGCAATGACAGGAACACTGTCCTTCTGTTCATAAAAAGTTCTATTTAAAAACAAAAAAATTCATTTCTATGTAAGGTGATCACTATGTCTTTAATTACCTCAACGAATATAGTATAAATAAGGCAAATCCTAATGGTGTCTGAAGTTGTCTGGTTTTTTGTCAGCTGTTTGATCTTGTCATCAACGACTCAAACTATTCAATGGAAATTAGAATATTTTGGTTTAAAATAATAATATTAATAAGATGTTTTGTTGGTCACCTTAAAACTAGTGCAAAGCTAGCTTTAACTTGTTTTCCTTGGACCCAAGTCCTCTCTGACATACTTCACGGGAGGTCAAGCCATGGTACACAATGAGAACCATATGTTTCTTGTCAGACAGATTAACAATGAGCTGAACTGTTGTTGAGCTCAACTGGAAAAAAGTTGTAACCACACTGGACTCTATGTGAGGAGAAAGATCAAGGATCGGTTTCCTTACTTCCCTTCCTTTTTTAGTCATTTGAGTTTCATGGCAATATATATGGCCCTACTCTTCACGGGTACATAAATACTGTTGATATCAGGTTATAGTACTTTCTGCACATAGGCCAAAAACTGTGTTTTTATACAGTCAATGCAGTTGTAGCTACTTCGTAGTAGGACATCATCATCAATCTTTGCATTTGAAAATCACTAATATCAGTTTCTGTAGACTTTGTGCCCAGGCTCAGGCTTTTTTGTATTATCAAATGATTATTTGTCATTAAGTGTTTGAATTTAAGGATGGTTCAGACAGCTGATGTGGTTATGTCAATACAGTAAATGAAAAAGCAAACATCATGTAAACAGTGTTGGAAAAATGTATTATGAACTGGTCTATTGTTTGAAAAATGCTCTGGTGCTCTGCCCTCTGTTAATGTTGATCTATCCAGAACTAGGTAACATATTAATGTTTTATCTTATAATTTTAGTAATAGTCAGACCATAGAGCAAAAACAACACAGAGTGATTACATTTAGTCTGCATGTAGCATGACAGTCTCTTTGATGGTATATTTCAGGTCTTTAGATGGGCGTCTCCAGGTCTCCCACAGAAAAGGTCTTCCTCACGTGATCTACTGTCGCTTGTGGCGCTGGCCAGACCTGCAGTCCCACCATGAGTTGAGAGCGGTCGACCACTGTGAATTTGCTTTCCATACCAAGAAGGATGAAGTCTGCGTCAACCCCTACCACTACCAGAGGGTGGAGACGCCAAGTGAGTACAGTTAATTGCTACATGATCCAAATTACTGTATTTAAAATAATGCTTTTGCCATAAAGTATACAGAAGTCAACATGTCCTTAATGAATGTATATGCGTGTCTCTAGTTTTGCCTCCTGTCCTAGTACCACGACATACAGATATCCCTGCAGTGTTCCCACCACTGGATGACTACAGTCCATCCATTCCTGAGAACACCAACTTCCCTGCTGGCATTGAGCCCCAGAGTAACTATATTCCTGGTGAGACAATCAGTGCCTCTCATTCTGAAGGCAGAACTTACAACTCTGTAAGCTTGTATTCTCATCATTGATTGTTTAGTGTATGCTTAATTTGGAGAGGACTGTCCAAAATGGTTATATCCCTGAATTCATTGTTTACAATTAATACTAGATATTGTGGAAACAGTAAATGCTGGTTGTATTGTAATTCTTGTCTCTAAGCAGAAAAAGTCCAGCATTTTCAAGTCACAAAAAACATTTGAGTTCAGTAACTGTAAAATATGTCTGACCTGAAAGGATGTGTGTAATATCTTCTCATGTGCTGTGTGTTTTACAGAAACTCCCCCACCAGGGTATCTGAGTGAGGATGGTGAGACAAATGATCACCAGCTTAACCACAGCATGGACACAGGTGAGACGCGTAAATATACACACATTTCAAGCACATATTGTTCTAATTATGCCTTATCGAGATCATGACCGAGTCCTGCATTGCTGCTCTATTTCAGGTTCACCCAGCCTGTCGCCCAATCCTGTGTCACCCGCAAACAGTAATCTTGGTAAGCAAAACCAAAGGGGTTAGCTTTACTTACAGAGCACAGGATTCATTATGTGCACCCATATGGTTAGTAGCCATGACTTAAAGTCCAATTGAGATCACATGTAGCCATCCTCATTGCAGTGCAAAATAATGTCAATGTGTCTTCATGCCTCCACGTTGGCGACAGCCAGGGCCAGAGGCAATATGTTTTCGGGTTGTCCGTCTGTCTGTCTGTCCCATTCTTGTGAACATGATATCTCATTAATGCTGTGAGGGAATTTCTTCAAATTTGGCACAAACATTCATTTGGACTGAAGGATGAACGGATTAGATTTTGGTCAAGGTCATGGTGACAGTTTGTAACCTCACTCTGGTTGATATGTAGCTGTGTATGATCTAATTGGTTGGCTGGTAGGTTTATTGTGATTAGTTGGTCTGTAGCCTTATTCTGGTTGGTTGGTTGTTTGGTTGGTTGGTCGGTTTCTAGGTTTCTAGATGGCCTTATTCTGATTGGTTAATTTGTAGCCATATTCTGAATGGTTGGTTGGTCTGTAGCCATACACTTGAATTTCCCCTAGGGGATAAATTAAGTAGCTCCATTCTGATTGGTTAGTTGGTTTGTAGCTCTATTCTTATTGGTGGGTTTGTTTTTAGCTTTAGTCTGATACAACTTGCGAGAATTTCTCCAATTTTGGCAAAAACAATTCACATGGTCTCAAGAACGAACTGATTAGATTTCAGTGGTCAAAGGTGAACACAATATCTTTGGAAATCCTCAAGTGAATCCCTTAAGATTTGGCACAAAGGTTCACTTGGACTAGATTTTGGTGGTCACCAGCATCGGGTAATGTTGAGGGCTTCCTTGTAGCTCAGTTGCCTAAAGTACTTAGTGTATACCATGTATGCTGTAGATGTGACAGTAAGAGCACACATGTAGGACCAGTTCTAGAGACCTGAGTCTGCAATACTGCAACAATTGACCCAACCCCCACTGTACCTGATGACTGTACCAAAGTGTACATGCCCTGTCCTGTCAAGATGATTTCTCTATAAAATGCCTCCACCAAAGAAATTATCCTTATTAGGTGGGATTTAATCTGCAGTAGGATTATATTCTTCTGATTTTGGTCATGGACATTACAACTCATCATCTGTTTTTTCTTGTTGTTCAGTTTACTGAAGAAGTCAGTAAACCAAAAACTGCTTAATTCTTAATCAAGGTGCTGTTCGTACTGTATGAAGTCCACAGACTGTCAGATTAGAATATCTTTGTAGGGGTGAACATGTGTGTGAGAGACAGATGAGTAATATACAGGAGCAGTGAACTACGTCTGGGAGGCTTAGCCTCAGGGCAGTAACAGAGTAAGTATGGTATGAATAGGGTCTTTGTCTATGGTCTGTCCTTGTCTGTGGAAAGGCTAGCTACAGACAGCTCAAGGTAATGCAATAATAATAACATCCGGTTGCCAGGTTATTCTATCTATGTGGAAAGCCACCAGGAGGTCATTGTTAAAAAAATAAATAAATACGCACGTAATGTCTTGGCTATTCTCGGCTGGGGCCATGAGGGTCGTGGGAAAGAAGTATTTGAAGAGAAATCAAAGGGAACATAATCAGCACTGTGCATCTTCACAGTCCAATGGTTGTTTGACCCCAAAGCAATTTACCTGTTCTTATGAACTTCTTCATCCTTTTTTCAAGGCCCTAACTGAAGCCCTTTGCTCTCGCAGACTTACAGCCTGTGACGTACTGTGAATCTGCCTTCTGGTGCTCCATCTCCTACTATGAGCTGAACCAACGCGTAGGAGAGACCTTCCACGCCTCCCAGCCCTCCCTCACAGTAGATGGATTCACAGACCCTTCCAATTCTGAGCGTTTCTGTCTGGGCTTGCTGTCCAACGTCAACCGCAATTCAGCAGTAGAGCTCACACGCAGACACATAGGTACTCATTTTATTTTACAGGTACCACATACGCTCTGATCTAATTGCGTTTTATATTTGCACTTGACATAATCAGGAGGTTACTGTGCACTGAGCTACAATTGTTTCTCTTCCTTTCCAGGACGGGGCGTGAGGTTGTACTACATTGGGGGAGAGGTGTTTGCAGAGTGTCTCAGTGACAGTGCCATCTTTGTCCAGAGTCCCAACTGCAACCAGCGTTACGGCTGGCATCCTGCCACTGTCTGCAAAATCCCTCCAGGTTAGCATGAAAGCATATGAACAAACACATTAAGCCAATGGAAACAAAGTGACGAGAGCATAACCGGGTTCTAATGACCTACTGACACTAACATCTACATGGTTCTCAGTGTCAGTAAGCCTAATCGTGAATCTTTTGTTTGTCAGGTTGCAACCTGAAGATCTTCAACAATCAGGAGTTTGCTGCTCTACTTGCCCAGTCAGTCAATCAGGGCTTTGAGGCTGTCTACCAGCTCACAAGGATGTGTACAATTCGCATGAGCTTTGTCAAGGGTTGGGGAGCTGAGTACAGGTAAATACATTTTTTAAACAAATTAAGCTGCTTAAAACGGAATATCTATAATAATTATTCTATATTTATAATATCTAGTAATTGATAAATGCATTACATTTATTTTTGATTGATATTTACATGTTACTTACTAAAGGCTACTGTATAAGGCACTGGAAAGGTCAACCAGGTCATTGTCATATCAGCATAGAATTGATGTAATTTCCATCTCCATCTCCAAAATTGACAACTCAGAATTTGACTAGCAGATAGTAGACTTAAAAAGTAACATTTAACTGACCCAGCAAGTCACTACAGTCTCCTACTGTCACTTTGCTTTTCTCCTTTGTCTGTCATAAGTACTACTTGGATAAACACAGATTGAATGTTTAGGGAGGCTGTAAGGTCTGAGTAATGCCCAGAATGTGGGAGGGGGGCAGGGGGTTTAAGGGTGTCCGAAATGGACATTCTGTGAACCTGCCCCTCTCTAAGGGTTCTTATGGGAGAAAATGTCATTATGCAGGCACAATAACACATAAAGCCATTTACAGCCAGAACCAGACACACAGTGTACCTTTCTTTTCTCATGGCCACACCTTACCTGCTCGTTTTTTGTATAGAAACACACTCCATAGTTATGTCTGTTAGCTGGTCTTATTTCAGCTTCTACGGTGGAATAAAGCTCCTGCTTTAACAGGGCTGTCAACGTTTGAACACATTCCCAACTGAAATCAAATTGATTCCTGATATAAATTCTTTGACAACAAAGGTTAAGTGCTGGCTAAATGCACGCTGTACCCATTTCTAGCTAATTGTATTGTTAATTGTTTTGTTTGACTATTCGTCTGCTTGTTTTGCTCTTTTGTTTTGCTGTTATTGTATGATCTTGTGAGTTTTATTTGTCTGTTTGTTTTGTTTTTGCACATCCCAATCAATGCCTTTCAGTATAGTATTTTGACTATTTTAATTACACTGTACATGTAAAGCCCAACTAGGCACAAGAGTTGAAAATTAGCAATAGCTATAAACTATAAATATGTTAAATTGCATCGTAAAATAAATTGATAAATAAATAAACAAAATAAACAAAACAAAACACATAGGCCATATGCTCCTGCATTTGTCTCAGACTGTTTGATGTTATCAGTAAACAAAGTTTTAAGGGCTCATCACCCCTTTTGTTTTCCTTGAGTCTGTTGCACTGCACATGTTCAGGACACAAAAGTTCCATCAAGCTGTGAACCCAAATTAAGAAGAAAAGGTATGATGGCTTGATTTTTATGGTCAGGATAATTAAATTCAGTTTGGGGATGAAAAAGAAAGATGAAGGGGTGCTTCACACAGACGGTAGCAGACTTATAAAGGAAAAAGAGGTTGATGGGTGAGGGTGCAACTGTGAGTCGGCAAGAGAAGTTTGAGTAACAAGAAGAATGCAGCAGGCATGCAGTGGTGTGGGGGATGTGGAGTGGGAGATGAACCCATTTCAAACACGCTTTGCAAAGGGGATTCCCACTGGACTACGAGTGGTGCGTGTTGTGTTTCTGGCACCAAACACCTTGGACAAAAACATCCCTTGCAGAAACCCAAATGATCTCAGAAATGGCCAGTAGAGTAGGGCTCACTGTCGGTGTTAATTCAACTAAAAATACTTGCAACTGTATCTCTGCATTGACTATAATGGAAGTTATTTTAACAATGAGATGTCTCACAGGGATTTTAATTGTGTAGTACTATTATGTATGATAAAAAAACTCTCAGTAAAGACAAAGTATGTTTCCCCTCTCCTTCTCTGTACCCTGCAGACGTCAGACAGTGACCAGCACCCCCTGTTGGATAGAGCTGCATCTCAATGGCCCTTTGCAGTGGCTGGACAAGGTCCTCACACAGATGGGCTCTCCCAGCATCCACTGCTCCAGTGTGTCATAGGAGCAGCCCTCCGTCCCATCCACACACTTGAACACAAACCACATAGGAAAACTCAAGCTTCTGTCAGTTATAAGGAAAGAGACGCCATTCATCAAATCGTCAGTTCACTCTCCTCCCTCGCTGTCTCTTAACATTTCACCTCATATGCATAGCACTTTCCATAGTACCATTTAGTGTCCCCATGTGATGGTTATTTTAGGACTTGTACATTGATTTGTTTTCATGTGTTCAACAGGAAACCACAGGGTATTTGCAGTAGGTTTCAAAAGAATAATCACCTTTTTCTTCATTATTCATTAAGACATCATGTCTGTTTTTTTAAGTTATTTTTTGGGCATTTTTGCCTTTATTGTGATAGCGGTAGTGAGAGGGAGACACGAGGGTCGACGAGAGAATGGGGGGATGACATGCAACATAGGACCCAGGCCGGACTTGAACCCTGGGCTGCTGGGGTGAGGACTGGGGGCGCCCCAGACATTATATCTTTGTGTTCTTTCTTTTTTGATGTTTGTTGTCCAAGTTGAAGTTATGGCACAGTTTCACCTTGGTCACCATCTACATGTTTCAAAACATTTTTGATTCTATGAATTAGCTAAAATTATGAATACGCTAACATCACTGGTGTGTCAGTGTCCCAGACCCACTCTTTGTAATCACTGAATTGGGAGGCTTATTTATCAATTGAACCATGAATTAACATGAAAAATGTCATTATGAGTAGTGATTAAATAGAATATATTTAATTAATATTTTAAGTACAAGGTACTTTGCCCATATTGATTTATCTATATTAATGAAAGCATCAATTATCTGATTGATCATTTAATTGGTATTTTATCTATTTTAAACAAAATATAGACATTAGCACCATTGTTTCTTGAGAAGAACCCTTGTATGAAAACTATTTTGCTCAGTGAAAGAGACATTTTATAAGTTATTTTTGCATACTGTCCTGCATGGGAATATATTTTTATTATTGCCTCAATATGATTGTACATAAATATTTATAGCTTGTGATTTCTTGTAGTCATGCATTGCTTGAAACAGTGGACCTGACTGACCTCTGGCATGAGTAGATTCACAGAAAGACTTTGCTTTAATGACCCAAAACTTGGCCTGTGTAATGCAGGCTTTTCTAACCTGGGTCAGCTGGTTGTTAAGTGTAACACATAGGATTACTGCACCAGCTATTACCGTTATTCCAAGTCATATGACATACAGTATGGGTGATCATAGTGGACTGATTGAATTTATGCACCGTGTGAATTCAGTGTGAAGGGTACTCAGTAGCAGTGACTGTGGTTCATCCATCGATGACGATGTAGAGTGAAAACATAAATACAGGTCTTTTCACATATTACCAACTGTTAGCCAGTAGTACACTATGCTCCTTGTGGGTAAATGATGCACTTCATGTTTAATGTGTTGATCAGTGTAACGCTTTAGTTCTAGTGGTAATTTGCTTGTCCAAAAAATACTGTATATTACATGTACATTGCTACAATATAAGGCATGTGTAATATGCTCGCTGTCCTCGGTCATTGTCTATGAAGCCACAATGTTAATCCTGCACTTACGTATAGTACATAAGACTGAGTTACCATGTTATCTATTTAAAACGTTACATGGTGCTAAACTGAAATACTGTCTACTACAGTGCATTAGGTAGTTGGTAGATCTGTATCAGTACTTGTGTTCCTTGATATTCTTAGTTGGTGGATTTCTATTCTAAGTCTTATGTACATGTTTATTTCATGTAGCCCAATATTTGTTCTCAAATGACCATTGTTTTGTTATCTGTGAAAATTTAATAAATTGCAACTGGGAAAAATTATTTAATTTTGCTGTGCATATTTTTCTTTATAACAATGAGTTTAGCTGTATATTCACAGATGTGACAGTTTTGTCTACACAGTAAATAAGCCACACTAAAGAGCAGAACAAATTAAAATCACAAGTCTTTATGTTGATTCAACAGAATGTGCATTACATCTCTTACAACTCTAAGGATAAGGCACATTATGTCACTTGAAAATATATGTGACAACTGTACCTAAAGGACAAATACACAAATCAAAGCCCACACAATTTAATTTCATGTTTTTCCACCTGCAACACCATCATGTGCTGAGGTTCACTGAGGGCTTTAAGCATAGTGAAGGGACCCAGGGGAGAAGATTGAGGGTCAGGGCCACACAAGGGCTCTCTTCTCTCCCTATTAAGGATTTCCATCTGCTTCTCACTATACACCAGTATTGCAATCGTTTCATTTTAATAATCAAAAGTTTCTAAACACAACTATGCCTACAGTGCCATCTGTAAGCATCTCCACATTCCAAGTGCAAGAAGCAGGTCAAAGGGCGCTGGATCTTGTGGGAGCCCCAGGAAAGGAGGAGGATCAGGAGAAAGGAGACGGAGTCACAGGTAGCTACTCTTAGCTTTCCTCACCCGATGATAACCCATCTATCTCATCTACATCGCCACCAATGGCCATCCAAAACGCTTTTGCTACCTGGAAATGACATTTAGTGTAATGTAAATAACCAGATTTTGTGTGAGCATGTTTACTTAAACAACAGACTGCGCCAATCAATGATTTGGACTGAAATGAAATAAAGGAAGTCTGTCATCACTCTAACAATGTGTTTATAAGGTTAACATTTCTATGTCACATTATTAACATTACTATTGTTAATAATTTATGTGACTAACATAACATTAACTTAAGCATGGACTTACTAGTTTGACTATGGTGTGAGGTTACTCTAGTAATATTGCCTATCATCTAGTCTAGATAATAAACACTAGTTTATTAACAATTTGTGATACAATGTTCAAAACAATTCCATGGTAATGTCCTACTCCACTGAGAATTTTGATACAATCACCATACTCAAGCATGCATCCATGATCACAAACTATGAAAGTGAACAGGTTCAAGTTTGGTGTCTTGCAGTGAATAGAGTTTCTTACCTTCTCTGCATGAACCTTTCTCTGCTCATGAGGTAATGAAGAAGCTTTGTCTGCAGATTTAAAATCAGAGACCAAATCATCATAAATGACCTCAGCTCTGCAAAGATTTGACCTCAATATGAACAATGAGAGCAAATTGCAAACAGACCAAAGATCCTATGAGTTTTAAAAAGGCAAAACACAGGCTATGGCTATTTTTGTTTTGACAAAGTTGTTCATTTGTTTTTCCTCATTACCTTTCATCTCTTTTAATTTCGTAAAGAGGCGTTCAAAGTTATCCACATCTGCATCTCCAGCTGTCAGATTAGCAAGCTCCTGAATGTCCAAATCAGTCATTGCATCTGAGAGAATCAAAACAAATGAATGTTAATAATCTAAGTTGGGGAAGAAAATAATTTTTTATTTCAAAAACAGATTCCATCAGAAGCTGCTCACTTACCAACTACTGTGTCCTCTTGTGTGTCTGCATTGGTACTACTTTCTGTATGGTTGGCCTCCTCATTATCAAGTGTGCCCTCTACTGGCAAGTTGGAAGACTGCCACAGGAAAGGAGCTAAGGTTAGCATACCTCAAAAACTGACAGATTTAAAATCCCATTTAAATGAAAATGGATTGATATATGTAACAAAGAAAGCAAGAACATATAGAAAGACAATAACAAATGTAAATGAAATTACGGTTAAAGCTAATTAAAATGGTTACATGAAAAAAAAGCTACTGACTGGGGGATCTTGGCAGGTCCGTGGATTGTTGTGTCTGGAAGCCACCAAACTGCTCATCAGACCAAACCCCTGATTGTACCCTGTCAGACAGATATACAAACTGTCACATGACATACTTACAGAGATATATTAAATAGTGAGGGAACGCAATAGGTAATTGTATATGTGTTTTCATCTCACCATCCTTCATTTCCACACTGGACCACACGTTTGCATTGAGAGCCTGGACAATTCTCTTTACTCCTGTGGATTCTGGAAAGTCATCTGATAAAGGAAACATGAGTGCACAAAAATTAGCAAAACACGAACAATGGATATAAAAGTATGCAGTGTTGTAGTTTCCACTGCTTGTAAAACTCACCATCTTCATCTGGCAACTCCTGTGGATTGAGCTCCACCAGCTCAAAGGCATGAGCCAAACACCACTGCTGTGCTTCATGTCTGGTGACCCCTAGAATATGAATAAAATTTCAGATGTCAAATAATATCCCTCAAAAGTTGTATTCTGGTGCTTTCTGCAAAACAGCAGTCACCACAGCGCTGGAGAACTAACCATTTTCACAGACTCTGTCACACACCAGAATGAGCACCTCTGGAGCAAGATCTTCCACCACTGATATCCAAGGATGTAGTTTTTCCAGACCATCCTTCTGCATACACCATGCACACAAGATAAACGTATCAGTGGATATACTTCTGAGATTAAAATAAAAACAAAAACTTAATTCTGAAGTTACGTACCACTTTACTGTCAAAATAGGCGATGAAAGCCTGCATGGACTGGGCAATTTCTGACGACATTTGAAAAGTGCTTGGTACAACACATAGCCTGACATCTGCTGTATAATACTTGTTGTTGATTGTCCAGGGATACCAGGCTACCGTTTCTTCTCGCTTGGTGGGCTCGGGCAAAGTCTTCGTACTGAGGATCTCTAAGGCAAAACACATTTGTTTTAAAGCAACAAATAAGACATTACAGTAGGCTACGTTGCTCAGCCTGCCAGCTGTGTCCTTCAAGAGACTTAGCATAGCCGTCTTTATATCTGCCCCACAAAAGTAAATGACTTAACTAGCTTGACAAGCTCAGACAAACGTATTATTAACCTGTATTAGCGACATGTAGGCTACGAGTAAGTTAGCTTTGTTGAACATTAGCCTGTTTGCCAAATCATGCAAGTTAACCTTTGCTAAACTTACGTTTTATCAGCTCTTCTTCTTTAAAACCACTGTCACAGCTAGTGATGAGCACACAGGGAATATTCATCTCTGTGGTTTCTTCTGTAGCTGACATTTTATAATATTTAGTGCAAAGCTCTCCAGCTGCTAGCTTAGCGCGACGTTAACCAACTCTGACAACCTTTCAACTCTGACTGAGCACACGGTCACTTCCGGTGCAACATTACAACATTTCAAGAAACAGGACTCACAGCTTTTTTTTTTTCTTTTTTTTTTTTAAACACACACTTATATAAGTGTCTATTAGCGAATTGCTTAAACGAATATAATATGTATGCTTAATGACATTTATGTTAATGGCGATATTTACGTTGACATTAAATGTGCTTCTTGTGTTTATGTGGCAATGGGATTTAAAGCCCTGACTTTTGTCTGTCAGGCAAAGCAGTGTCTCCACCAAAAGCTCCACTAAATAAATAATGTATGTCTATGTTAATGAGTAAAACACGGTTAAAGTAGGGCGATGGTCGGAATTTTTATCTGCCAATTGTAGCGAAAGTTGGGGAAGTGGGGAGAGCTGCCTGACACGCGTTCTCGGGGGAGAACAACATAACTTGCTTGGCTTCTGGTTGTCATGATTACCAGTACTGTTTTCATTGATGTCTAGCTAGCTAACTGGTTTGGTAACAGTAATTCGTTATCATGATGTATTGGCACATGTTGAAGTAATATTATTAAACCCAATATGCGAAAATGTCCGACACGCGTAAAAACGAAGATAAGTTGGGAGAAGTGTTAGTTAAGGTAATGTTGTCTAACTTCAGCCAACAATTCTAACTTTCCGACATAATACTTGACGCTTGCTAATTATTCTGACTAGCTAGTTTTTTTTTTGTTTGCTCAAGATGATGTTCGGTAAATTATGACCACAGTGCTTAATTAATTAAAGAAAATGGTTAAATTTTATATAAATTGTTAACATCTCTCTTTATTTTTAAGCCTCTAGACTCTAGAAATTTAGCAAAATTTAGCAAAATTTAGTTAAATTACCAATATACAGAACAAATATTAAGCTAAAAGTTACGGTTGTTGGCTGATTTTAGGAGTTATCCACAGTACATCACAGAACTGTATATTACAGGTTCAAGAGGATTTGAGACAACTCAAATGTAGTCTTGAGACAATTGCTGTCGGTGAGCTGGGCAAAACACTGGACATTCAAGCCCTGGGCAACGCCATTTGCAAGACAGAGAGCAACATCAGGGTAAGGATGTTTGATGCAGAATAAGCAATGATAACAATGAAAATAAATAGACATCAGACAGAGGTGGCTGACCCTTTCTATGTTCTTAAATTGTAAATAGAAACATGCTGAGGATTATCTGAAAACAGTGACTGAGCAGCTGCTGGTTCTTCCAAACATTGAAGACTTACAAAAAAAGACTGTGCAGATTCCCAAATGGTACGTATGAAGAAGCTTACATGTGTTTTTACTGAATAACCACCTGCAGTGGGGAAACTTTCCTTAACTGGTTCACAGGTAGAACTTGTGGAAATATGGTAGAAATATGTTTAGAACTGCATACTGTCTGGTGATGGATATTGTGAGCCTGAAACAAAGACTTTACACAGGAAACCTGCTCTGGAGAGTTTCCCAGATGTGCGTCCACAAAGGGAAGACCTTCCAGGGGCTTCACCTAGGGAAAAGGTAGTTTACTATTCATCTTCAGAATTGAATACTCTGTAGGTAGGTAAGAAAAGAAATTCGACTATTCAGTGGTATAACATGTTAAAACAGGCAAGACACTAGTTGAAGCCACAGCCCCTCACAATAATGCAAGAGAGATAGCATAAGAAAGGTCTTTTTCATGGAGAAAATTACAGCCAGATTATAGTTTAGAACAGACAGGTTTGCTGAAAGGTGATCACCATTAATCTGTTCAATGCCAGAACTCTAGTCACCTCCTTTTTATTTTCTTACGATTATTTAATTTAATTTTTTTTTATTTGTATTTTTATTCTTAGTACACTTGTTTGTTTTATTTTATATTTCAGGGTTAAGCTACAAAGTATGTTTATTCTACAGTTAATGTAGTGTTAATTCCTTGGTGTGTGGTGTTTGATAATGTATTGATCATGTTCATGAAGAAAAATGATCTCTTAACAATGGTCAGATCACATAGAAACACAAAATCACAAAGAAGACAAATAAGACAAGACAAACAAAAGTAGAAAAGGTGTGATAGAGCAGCACGCGAAAAAAATGAAAACACATTAACACTGCTTAGCAGAGATACACTCATTTTATTAGGTACACGTATCAGTTGTCAGTTTATTAGGCACAACAAACAGTCCTTAAATAAATTCTACATCATAAAAACTGCACACTTGAAGCTCCATGAGCAGTTTTTATTGTAACTATTTGACAGAGGTGTTGGTTCTACTTTCTGATCATTTTGGATGCTGCAATTTGTCATGTTGTTGAATTGTACTGTGTTATACAAACTGGTCTTTTATTATTTTGTCCACTCCATTCACACCAATGAGGGTGGACTAAATAACAGTACCACTTCTCTGTATAATGCAATATAGTTCAACAGTACCATAGACTACATCCTCCAAAATTATCATACAGTTCAATCAGCAACATCAAAAACTGAACATTATAACCTTTGTGGAGGTAGGTTTCACTGCAGGACTGTTGTAATAGACTGTATTAATTTTAGCAAGGCAAGTTATACCTAATGATCTGTCAACTAGGTGATTATATACAATTCTGTTTCTACAGTACATCTTGTTGATGACTGATCTTGTTGATCTGTCTCATTCAGCACAAGTCACCAGTAGTGATGCGTTTGCTGTGTAATCCTGCTCACCCAAATAACAGAGCCATTTTGTACCAGAAATGTGGAATATCACTGCCTGATGTCCACAAGAGGAGCACAAATGCAGTGAGTAATCTGACCAGAAATGTAGGTTCATTTAGTTTTTGTAAAACTTGTAAATTGGGAGCATTCATTTTTTATGCCATTCATGCTTTCTATAGAAATTACATCAACCTTAGATTAAGTATTGCAGATAGCAGTTCATTTTCTGTGTGTCTGTCTATAGTAAAGCTTTATATGTTTATTCTTTTACACAGGTCTCTCTTGAAAAAGAGACCATGATCTCAGTGAGACTACCTGTTTAAATAAAGGATTAAATAAAATGTATAAAAGTACTTCCAAAATACAGCATGGGTTTTGGGCCATCTGTATCATGATACTGCAGAAAACAGATAGGTTTACCTGGCACTGATTGGCTTAATCAGCATTGTGTGAACTCATTCAGCAAGGGCTTGAATGTAATGGACGTTCATTTATATTTTAAAGTCCTGCAATCCAACTTTAAAAATGCTACTTGACTCGAGCCAATCATTTAACTGAAGTTAAAGTGGATTTTTTCTCCCATTATCATGTACTGCAATTTGTTGTCGGATTGAGTAGTCTGCATGACAATCATGGAGTGAATGACAGATCATTTAACTGTGGCTTTCTCAAACTAAACACCCAGGAGAATTTGAGCTTATTTGTTGAGGAAACAGGCTACATCTGTTGTATTGGCTTTCTTAGTTATGGAGCAGATTTTCTCATCACACTTAAGTCTTACTGCTGGAAAAGACACCAATCAGTGCATGAAGTCTTAAACTAGAATCAGAATAATGTCCTCCAGTTATTTGCTTTGTGCAGTGAGAAATTGATTCCTGTGTCCTGAGTCTTTGTTGATATTAATTTTAACATAAAGCACATGCCTCAGGAAAGATTTGATTAAGTATTACATGAGGTTCTGCTACTGCTAAGATGAATTGGATATCATTGTTCCTTTCCTTGATACTGTCTCCCTTAATCCCCAGAATAGACAGTTTATGCTGAGTGAAGACTGATGGTACAGGTTTGCATCAAAAGATTCCTCAAGTCTCATCCTCAGAGGAATGGTGACATAAAGGTCACTTGGATTAGTGATGACAGCCAACACTTGTCACAGAAAACAAATTAATCTTTGCAAAGGTCGGCATTAGTTTTAGATATATTTTACACACTTTCTTTTCCAATATGTTTTTGGGAATCTATACGTGACATGAGAAATTGAGGCCAAGACTGTCACTCTGATATAGAAGAGATGGAAGAACTGGCTGCAGAAAGCGGAAAGCAGCAGATTGCAGCACATCAGCATTCTTCTAAAGAAACAGGCGCCTGATTGCTGTGCTATGGGCTACTGGTTTACAGCTGTCTCAGGACAGAAGTGGGTACCTGGTCCAGCATGCCAATAAGACAGCCGTAGCTTCCCCAACTGCTAACCACTGGCTCTCTGCCTGCTGCCTCCTCTTGCAACTCAGGCCAGCTCTTCTCCACTCCGTACCCGTGCCAGGGAATAAGCTTCTGCATTTTAGCAATTTTACAAAAGTTGCGACCTTTTCCCAACACGATGTGAAACAGATGTGTGCCTTTGAGGGGAGATTCTCCCAACACCTGGCTACTACCTGTGGTCTGTCAGAGAGCTCAGTGGTCTGAGGAGAACAAAGGAAAGGACATTAGGTGACAAGTCTGGAGGATCAACAGCACAAACTTTGTGTTTTATGAGTAATGAGACATTTGAATATAGCCATGAAAAGTTGAGTTTACTCCAAATGCATCTTCCTGGTTATCTTAAATTAGGCCATTAAATCTACTTTCAATTTTAAAATTATGACACTAGTGTGCATTAAAATGTATAAGTTACCAGAACAGATTTGCTCTGAGTTGTAATATTTTAAGATGTGTCTTTAGATTTGGCTACTTTGTGAATAATTGCTACAGGAAGTGGTTTAACAGGACATTGTACAACAGCTCTTATAATTCTTAATGAATTTAGAAAATATATTGTTTGGAATATATTGTTTGTAATCATGTATCAGGCCTCTGATTTTATGTATATCAGATGGATAACCTCTGATCTTGTTAACATGTTTGATTCAGGCAAAACGTCACAGAATTATCACTGGCCCTACTGTGAGATTTCAAGCCTTTGGACCAAAGGGTCGTCACAGCCTGGCAATACCTGAAGAGGACACAGGGACAGACACGGGGACAGACACGAGGACAGACACAGGGACAGGTAAACAAACATTTCACCTTCTCATCACTAGTCCCTGATCTCTGGCACACTCCAGACAAATGCTCAGTGATTGTGTGTGGTAGCTTGTTGTTTGTATCACTTTAATCAGACCACCACTTTATATTCAATGGCAAACAAATTGTAATGTATCTTTTTACATTAGATTTATTAAAAAAAAGTTTTTAGCTTACCTATCCTGAAATTTTTATGAACAAGGGCACATACAATGTCTTGAAAGATGTTTTTTTTTTGAAGATGTTATGTCCTTCAGTGCCAGATACAGGTTTGCTTCATCTGTCGATCCAGCACAAGGCTGCTTCTCTTCACCCCAGAGAGGATTCATATTCTTCTAAGATAGGTGAGTGCCTCTCCAAAGACTTTATAGAAGATAATACATTTTACTTGATTTTATGTCTTAGGATATATTTTGGATAAATATTTCAAAATGTGTTCAACTGAAAAATTTATATGATATTGTTGACTGGCAGACATGGTCTTTAATGTTTTGGTAAACAGGAAGAAAAGCTCTGCCCTTGGAAATACTTGGAAGCTAGAAACCTGATAACTTAAGTCCCGCCACTGTTGAACCTACACATCCAGTATTTTGCGAGTGCTTATTGCTAAAACAATAGCAATTATGCAATCTCTCTTCAGTTTTGCTCTTTTGCCTTTTCTTTCATTGTCTTGATTATCTTTTGGTTTTAACCTCTTATTGACTGTGTTGTAGCAGGGACAGCTATTGATATGATGATCGTTGCTAGTGATTAATCACTGATAGAGCACTGATAGTTGAGCCTGTCTGTTTTTGACTTTAGGTGTGATAGGCTTGAAGTCCAGGTGTCATAAGCAGTTGAAATGGAAAACAGAACCTGGATCCACCTGCAAAAAAACAGGCACCAAATGCACACCACTCTGGACCACCAAGACACCGCCTCCCTCCACAACCTCCAAGAGCATGGACCACGGGAGTTTGATGCAAGGCACCAACGATTTTATCCCTAAAAGGCCTCAGGTACAAACAATGATATTTTAATTCTTTTAACTGTTTATTCAAAGTCTCGGTTGCATCTCACTAGTTTCACTGTGTTCTATAGAACCTACCTGTGCCAGTTCCTGTAAACACCAGTAAATATGCCTTTACCATCACAAAGGGAAGGATCAACCCATTGGCAGCTGATTTCTGTCACTTTAAGCAGAGCTTTAGCTTGTGCTGGAGCAGTGTGGTATATGCTCTGGAGGCCCTAGAAAAGCTGCTCAGGGATTTTGCGGTGCCTCTAGCCAAAGTGAGTGGGGAACGGCTAGTGGAGTTTGCTCATGGATGGGAAAATGGTTGGAGAAAGGCACTTCCAGTGATCGACCTCCTCTCAGTGCTTGAAAACTGGGAGGAGGTACAGGGTCTGGTCTTACGCCCAGGTCAGCGCTACAAGGGAGAAGGAGGCATTGAGGCGGCTGCCATCCACATCCAGTCCTGCTGGAGGCGCTATGTAGCCCGGACAGCCTACCTGCGCCACTGCCGGCGCAAGTGGGCGGCAGGGACCATCACCATATCATGGTTGATGCACACTCAGATGCGTCGTGTCAGGAAGGCCCTGCAGGCCCGGCGGTTTAGACAGCTGGAGAATTACCGCAGCAGAGCCCAGGTGATGTTGCTTATATCCAAATGCTGCTTTCTCTCTATCTCTCTCTTACTTAATATTGCTCCCTCTTCTTTTCAAAGCTTGTCTTTCTTTCTCTTTTTCTCAATTTCAGAGTCAGCGATTTATTCATGACTTTTAAATTAAATTACATATGACAAATCCTAAATTTGGATGTACAAGATTCCATCAGATGTTTTTTTAATCAAAATGAAGCCATCTGCATAATCTTTATTTTCTTTATTTATTGTTAAAAAAAATATATAGTTTAGGGTAAAAAGAAAATTATTATGTGTCTACATTTCAGCTTGTTACTGTAAAGTTATATTTCCCATTCAGTCACAAACATCATTGTTTTATGACTTTAAAAAAAGGGACAGAAGAGTGGCAATGCCATGTCAATATGCATGCTGTGTCATTAATCATTGTCTTTAGCTTTAGCTAAAATGTGTTTATATAGTATTTCCAGTTTGAGATTAACAGAGTAGCAGAAAGATGGAGAGAGACAGATGAACAAAGTAAAACTGCAGCCACATGGATAATAAAAGATGACAAATGTATAAACAGTGATTATGAGGGCTAGAGATCAAGGTCAAAACTGATACCCAATTTATTGTGGTGGCCTATTAAAGTACATGTAACAGCAACTTGATACTGTATATAATGACATATATAAATATTATAGCTAGTTTGAATATTTAATGTTAAAAATGTGTTGTGGTGATATTAGATTTTAAAATGAAAACTGACTATAAAGGAAAATTCTTGTTTTGCAACTGCAATTATTGTAAATACAGCAGCATAATGTAAAGATTGTAGTACAGTGGGGCATGTGGAGCTGTTGGTTTTAGTGGGGTATTGATAAGATATAAACCGTATCGTTCATTTAATTCAGTTTGATGTTGCTTTAAATGGCGTAGAAAATTAAATTCTAGATTTGACATTTTCTTGGGGTTTATGCCTTGTTAAACAGTGAAGGCAAATTTACTACATTACTGTTTTTTTTCCTGGATATCACAACTTCTATACCTAACATGTCCAAACAGTTTTAACGTCTTCCCGCCATAGCAGAACCTTAAAAATCTTAATTTCAAGGAATAGAATTTTGTTTCTACTTAGCTCCTCAGAGCTCTATGAGAGCAATATTACAGCACATTTTTCTAGGTGAATAATGCTCTATAAATTTTGTCTCATTCAGTGTAGATGTCGTGTCTGTGCTGTCATCTGGGCTGAACATGTTTTAGAGCACTGACACAATATTAATTAGTGTCTACAAGTTCATTTAGTTTTAACATCCCCGTGTGTGTATACATGCACTAAATGTATGTTCTCACTCTATAAACATTCATACCCTGTTAATTAAGCCTGCTAATCTTCCCCTGGCAGTAGCATCATGTACCTTGCCTATTGAATTAATTGTGAGAAGATGTTTCTAAAGTAAACGCTTAATTTAATTAAGGTGGTATTTTATGCTTGGTTTGCTTCTGTTAGCCCAGAGAGAGATTGGCTTGATGCGTTTTAGCTATGCAGTGATGTGATGATTTGTGTGTGTGTGTGTGTGTGTGTGTGTGTGTGTGTGCGTGTGCGTGTGCGTGTGCATGTGTGTGTACACGCTCAGGCAGTCCCCTCTCTGATCACTCCTTTTCTCCATCCCCAGCATCTGGCAGCCAACTGGAAACACATCCAGTCCTCCAAGAGGACCATTATCCACATCCCTTCATTAGGTAGCTTTCTCTGCCTGCTGCACACACACACACATCTGATCTAGCAGCAGTTGTCCCATGTCTCGCCACTCTACTGCCCCAGTCTGTGGCCCTGGTGGAGGCACTCTGTCTCGTTCAAATGACTCTCTGCAGGAAAGCACTCACAGGATGATGACAGTCCCCATGCCAGGGAACTGAACAATTTAGTCTCAATCGCCATTTAATTTGCAGATTAAGCAAATGAAAAGCCATTATGTTGAATATTTGTAAGAGGCACAAAGGTCTTATTTTACTGCTTGGCAAAAACAAAAACACACACACACACAAAAGCGGAAGAAGCTGCTATGTTTTTGCACAAGACACAGAGTGCAAGCTATGATCCGTTCTCGTTCTAATTTCACCATGGCATTCACATTTAGACTGTAATCAGGCATGTGCATTGTAAATCATTGAGCGATTGTCTAAAATTATTAAGCCTAATTACTAGCAGATGGAATGCTTTATTTGCACTTGGGGTGGCTACAGAGAGTGCTGTGTGAGCAAGGATAATTAGAAAGTTGAACCCCATTGTTGTTAATTAGCATGAATCCAATCATTTAATTACCTTGATTCAGTTGAGGATTCTCTCTCAGGCAGAAATCCAGACAGACATAGAGTAAAATCCTGGAGGTATCACTGGATGTAGCTCAGCGGTGGCTGGACATGGTGCAACAGGACTCCCAGCACACAACAGACACTGCACCTGCTAGTTATTAAGCTAAATTAATCATCGAATTGCACTACTTTGTGATTAGACTTAACTACCCCACCCCCAAATCTAGTAGCACACACATATGAGGGTATTTGTCCAGAGCTACAAATTTTGAATCAAGCCAATTATAGAAGATATGAATCTCTCTTTCTATGTCTTGTGCAAGTGTTTAAGACCTTGTTCTTACAGGATACTCTGAGAGCCAGCGACTGAACTTGAGGGGATTCGATATCTTACAGAACATCCAAATAAACAGGCTGTGTGATATTAGAGGTAAGAGCTTTTCATAGCCTCACCACTGTCTCCGTTTGGTTCACTGTAAACATGTAATTTGTGAAGTCCGCTTTGTATATTTTCAGATGAAAATGTGGAAGTGATTTACATATGCTCCCAGCATCTGGGGGAGGGAATCTTGCACTATTACACCAGCCTCCTGAAGTGTGATGGAGCCACAGACGGGGCTGAGACTGGAACTACTGAGGTCTCATCCTGTGTCAGACGCTTTGTCATCCTTGTACCTGAGGCTGTACATCATTTCGCGGTAAGGTCATCACATTCACATTTTGTGTGCAACTCTAAAGAAAAAGCCTGATAATGGATATTTTCAGCAGGAAATTTCTGTAGAGAAATCAGTTATATTGTGCTGTAGAGATGCTGCAAGGATCTGTAGTTTGTGAATTCTCCTCTAGAGGGTACTAGAGGAGATTGTTACTATAGACCTGTCCTGTGAGAGTTACACTCTGTTAATATTTTTCATTACCTTTTACTACTTCTGAAATTAAACATCTGTGTTGTTTCAGAGTAAACACACTAGAGCTACATTATGTTATACTTAATTAAAATACATTTATTTCATGGTCTCTAGCTAGTGCTGAGTAAATAATTAAATTCCATATTAGTTGGTTTAATTAACCACCCATTCCATGTAACTGCTGCATTTTTATAAATTCTGAACTATTTTAATTACCTCAATACAATAAAATCAAGGTGTTGTTATATTTTCGTTTTACATCCAACCATTCTATTCACCTTTTTACATCTGTTTGCACTAGGTTGAATGTGCAACATGACATGGTCTTCTTCATCTCTTTCTATTGATTTTCCTGCTGTTTTGTTGTTAAACTGTGCCAGACGTGTTGCTGAGATGAATCACTGCTACCCACGGCTGGCAGCGCATTCTGCCAGTGACAGAAGGGATAATTCCATGTGGATCAAATAAATACAGATGTGAAGTAATTAGTTGTATTCCCAAGGAGCTCATTGCTAGCACACATTAAAGATGTGAAGGATAGGGGAGGCTTCCCACAGGCAGCTTTTATCAATTCAACCTGCTGGAATACAGGAGAGGTCAAAACCCTGCTAGCTATTACAATAATAGATCTATTGTGTGTACACAGTGATAAATCAGGTCAAAAAACAACCCTTGGAAGAGACACTGAGAACTCTAAGCTCCAGTAGTAATCTTTCTCCCCTCTTTTCTTCCAGACTCGTAGCATGTGCCTGTCTACCCTCCTAAAGTACAGTCCACACACCCTGAAGCGCATCAGGAACCTGATCCAGGGGAAGCAAGCCTATATTGTGGGTGGAGTGGCCCATGTGGATGACCTGGCAGTAGCTGATGAGCTGGGAGTGCCAATCCTAGGGCCAGAACCTGCTATTGCACAGCTCTACAGCACCAAGTCTGGAGGACGGAGGATCTTCACTGGGGCAGAAGTTGACGTACCCCCTGGTCAAGGAGACATCTACTCACTAAATCAGGTCAGAGATCAAAAACACAAATGCATAGACAGATTCCATTACAACCTGAGGTGCTTCATCAGTAAATGATAACACGGAGGAACCCTTTTTCATTTTCATCTTAACTTTTATTTGTAGTTAATGATATTATTTAGTTTGTAATTCAAATGTCTCTTTTTTGTTTTAGCTTCATGAAACACTGGCTGAGCTTATGACCCAAAACTTTGACGTACAGCGCTGGTTCTTCAAGGTAGACTCTGAACACAGTGGCCGTGGTACAGCATACTGTGATGTATGCCATCTTAGCTGCTATAACTGGGCCCTGCAGGAATACCATCGTTGTGGTCCTGAGCTATGGAAAACAAAATGGATTCAGGTAAAGATTTGATGTTGTGAATGATGTCATTCCCTCCCTGCCATAAACTATAGGACCACTTCTTAAAGGACATTTAATAAACTTATTTTTATACAATATTTCATTGAATTAGCTTAAATTTTAGGTTTGTATTTTTTATTTCCCTTATTACATCTCCCATAATTGATGGTTTTTACTATTATGTCTTTATGACTCGCTCATTTTATAAAAGTGCAATACAAATAAAGTTTATTGCTATTATTATCACACTCATACCAATGAGTGTGATAATAAAACGGCCATTTAAAGTTAACATGGTAACAACTGGATACTTAACAGATAACATTACAGTAACAGCTAGATATTAAGATAGCTGAAAAAAAGGAGTCAGATTCACTTCTGTCACTGAATGAACAAAAGCATGGGTCACAGTGGGGTCAGACAGATGCAATCATTTAGCTTAGAGTAGGATGTCTTAACGTAATAGTCACAATGCTGGTCTCGAAAGAACAGTATTTTGAGCATTGTCCCCAGAGCCACAGAACACTAAATCAATACATAAAATATCTGTTTATACACACAGCCATTATCCATTCTCAGGGGGACACATATCAACTAGTGTCGATGTGTTGGAGGGGAACAAAGCCTGTCCAATTGTGATAATGCCCTAACTCACCTGGCACTGACAATTAAATCACATTACAGACATGGTCAACAGAGCATTTCTTGTGTATATATTTTTCTAAAACTTTTTTGCAGATTAATGTCAGACAGATTTACAGCTGATTTCAATTATATTACAAATGACACTAAACACTTAATTGTAGCTGAAGTTGATACTTTGATCTGCTGTTCTAGCATTACAGCATTGACCTGTCTGTCTTTGTCCATAACACTCACTGGATGGGTCTAAGCTATTTGTAAATTTAACATAATTGTCCAAATACTGTGTGTAGGGTTAAACATGTTACATTGTAATTATTCTATAAAATATCAATATTTGCTTTTTCCTCAAAAAATAAATTCAGATTTAATCTTAAACCAGTTCAAAACAAATAAAATGTACTTAATCGTTGGTAAACCACTCATTTAGTACAGATGCAATCTGTACACAGCTTCTGAGCCCCTGGCTAGTATTTCTCATATGCTTACATAGTAGCCTTTGATTTTCTGTCATGTGTTAATTACCGTATTTTGCCATTTAACTCGGAGCTTTGTGTAGACTAATTACAGGCTAATGATTGTGGGCTTGGAGCACAACGATTTTACTTTTTATTCCATTTGAAAGAACAGCAGTCATCTCAAGCTTCTTATGGCTCACTCTGTTTTGTTCCTATTAGCTTGTTCTTTGATTCACAGTGTATGTGTGATGCGGGGCTGTAATTGTTGTGGCATCGGTGCTGTTAATTATGGCAGAGAGTGGCTGAGCCACAGCCAAGGTCCATAATGGTGGCTGAGGCAGCACAGGAAAGTAAATGGGGTTTGTTTCACCAGCTGGGGTCCCATGGAGAGGGAAGAGTGCCGAGGCCCCCAGTGTAGGCCGACAGCCTCAGGGCTTCTGGGCCATATGGACACAACACTTTAACTGGCCTTTATTCTACACCTTGCTCTTTTAATCAAAGCAAAGCCCACATCCTGTGCTCCTCATTGCATGATTTTTTGTTATGACATTGTTTTCCCCTAAAATGAATTAACCCTTTAAATGTATTACATTGTCCTTCTGCTGTTGTACTAGTTTATATTGAAGATAGCAATTTGGCTCTATATGCTGAAAGATTACAGGGCAATGTTGGTGATTAGATTCAAACATATGAATATTTTATATCAGAGTATCTCCTCGCTGTCATCTCCTCACAGCAGAAACTGTAGATGGATGTTTAAACATGGCAGTATATTTTGAGATATAACCCTCATTAATGTAGCACTTGCTGAAAAGAAGTGGACCTAATTGCAATAGCCATGACAGCTAGTGAATAGGATAGATACTCACAATGCTGAATATTTGCATGCATTTAAGCATTCGGTTAATAGATGTGTAAAGCTATGTTTATGGAAATAGTAGCAAATTAATTAATTATTAATGAAGTACAAATTATCAAATGAAGCATTTTAAATATTAATTCATAATTTAATAGTTATTCACCAAGATTATTGTTTACCAAAAAATAACAAATAAGTGATGATTAAAGTGTATATTATACAAATATGTTTAACAATTCAATGGGATATCCCACACCCTGAGAGTGGAGTAGAGTATATATATACTTGGCCTTAGCCTACACAGACTGAGTGCATATTTTTTGAATTATTGCTTCTTCTGAAGGACTCAGCATGAAGAAGCCTGACTCACAAGAGTACCATGTGGTCTTTCAGAATAATACCAACAATCAGATCCCTTCTGGCGATGCAAAAGAAAGCCTAAAAGGGTGAAAGAAGGAGGATCACATCCACACTATAGGATCTTCCACAGAGGTCTCAGTGCTTCTCTAAATATTGCGAGGCCCACAGCCTCCAGCACAATGTTTCAGCCCCCAGGCCTCTTTTAGCATTTACACGGAGAGAGGTTAAAGACATGTAGATCTGCACCCATGCAACGCCTGAAGGGGGCCATACACACACTTAAGCGCTCACACAGCTTGCATATGGATCATTAGGCACAAGAGGGTAAAAATTACACCTAATAGCGTCAACAGATGGAGTATTTCTTTTTGTCATGCTGTGTACAAACAAATCTTGAGCAACACCTTATTTAGGTTAAGTTTGTCAACGAAATGGGTCATTTGATAATCACTACCACTGAAGAGGTAGAGGGACATTTTATACAGATGTTTTCTGTATAAATATTGTGCAGTCTGTGCATGGAGGAGTTTAAATATATAATGTTACACCTTAACACAGTTAAACAGAATTTAGCTTCATAAGAGTTTTCACACTTTTTTGTTGTGCACTTTTTAGTGTGTTTGTTATGGGGTTCCTTTCATTTTATTGAAGGTCATAAATGCTTTTTGTGCAGTTTTTAAAGAGAAGAAATGCTGCTGCCTCTATTCTAAGATGTTAAATTAAACCAGGGATGAGAGTAATGTGACAGCTTAATGTTTTATTTAATATTATGCATGTAATTAGGCTTGAACTGTAGTAGAATTGAGGTTGAATCTTTGGTGGGTCAGTGTCACAGAAAAGGAATCTTCATACAAAACGTATGACTAGTCAGATTATATCATTCTATTCTCAAGATTTACTGTAGTTTCTCAGTTGTTTCACTATGTAATGGAGAGATGAAATGGCAATCACAGAGGCAGGGCAACATCTATTTTATTTATGACCAGATTGCTTGGCTTTATGTGGACACAAAGTAAAGCTTGAATCCTATCACAGGGTACTGTACGCAGTTTAAGTCCAAATAATTTATTGCAAAATACCTCTCTTTCTTTTCTTCCTGTCCTGCTGTTTCTGTGAACTGCATAGGCAAAGTCCTGGGGTGAGCTTGCTCTGCCGTTGAAAATGACAACCGTTCCCTTACACTTTTTGCCGCACCATTGTGTGCTTTATGGTTTGTATAGGGGGAATCACTGTGTAGCATTTGACCTCGCCTCTTTCAGTACTTGAATATGATGATGGCTGTTACATGACTGGAATATCAACAGCATAATCTCCAGTCCTGTCTCCAGTGAAGCCAGACAGCATATACTCATACAAAGTAAGGCTCTGGATGGAACCATGAAAGAACAAAGATATTATTTCCATTCAGACTTTAGTCAACTCTCAGACCGTTTTCACATATTTTATTGTATATGTCCAAATGAAATTCCTCTCTAATAGTCACATAAAGACATTATTACATACTGAACCCTGTGTTTAAAACAAAACTCAGCACTTGGACCATACAGTCAACATAAGCAGCTAACTGAAATATTCAAAGCTTGAAAACACCAGGGACAATGATGGAAATAAGTCAAAGACAGTGTTGTTCTATTCCTGACCAAATCTGAAAGGTTGTACCTTAAAATATATTGGATAGCTATCAATAAAGCTAAACCTAAAAGCATTGGAAAGAGGAAAAGAGTGTACTTGAGTTGCCAAACTGTTTAAGAGACACCTAAAACAAAAGTTTGAAATTAACAGCGTAATTAAGTGGTGAAACCATTATGGCATTTCCTAGTTACAGAAACGAGAGCAATATCGATCCCAGTCAAGCCCTGATTGATCCCCAGATAGATGGGGTTAGCTTAGGTATTCATCAGCTGCCCAGTGGAGAGAGTTGTTATTGAGGGCAGGTGCTGTCTCTGTGGCTGTAAGTTAAAGCCATTAGACTCCTGAGGCCTTCTGATAATAGGCTGTCACTCACAGATAGACCCTCCCGCAGTATCCATCAGACACTCGCACAGAAATTGAAGCAGCCACCAAAGGTCTCAAGGATAACAAGCCGTCACTGGAGTCATCCGCATAACACAAGGGCATTTCCAATAATGTAGTCAACACCTAGAAAGCTTTGATAATGGAACAAAATAAAGTAGTCAGGATTCATTATTGACTTGTGTTTGAATCAACAAACATTCATGATGTCCTCAGATCTGTCACCAACTCATTTTCAGTAGATTTGCAATGTATTCAACTTCATTTTCTTTCTGCAGGAATCTGTACAGCTCAGATATTTAGATGAAATCCCAGAGTGGCTGGCCCGTTACGCCCGGCCTGCTAAAACCTCCTGCTATCCCAACTGGGCCTGCTTCCTGAAGACCTTCCTCAGGCAAGGTCAGATACCTATTGTCAGGCAGTGAATGCTGTTCACCTACTAATATAGCTGTTTGAATATGCTAACAATCATTTCCTATTTCCTTCCTAGTTCCCAGATGTTGCCTATGTGAATTGACAAATTGAATAATTTTTATGTTACATTTGTCAGTTGATAAACAGCTGTTAGGAGAGTTTCAGATGCTGTATGATGTGTAGCATATTGTGGTTTGTACTGTTCCTCTGCACTCAATGTATGTCCAGGTGGAGTGGTGGAGGCCTACCCCCCTTCAGACAGTGTCACCTGTCTGACAATAGATCTGCTGCTGGAGCCTGGGGGTGAGGTGACCATGCTGTCCTGTGGAGACCAGCTTCACAGCTCCTGTCAGCTGGAAGCTGTAGGCTCCACTGTTCCTCAGACCTCTGTACACCCAGAGACCTTGCACTCCATCGGCATGCGAGTGGGCCAGGCCTGTCTGCAGCGCCTGATCGTAGGTTATGTCTCTGTGGACCTGGCTACCTTTTTGAACCACAACACCATGGAGCAGAAGGTGAGACACAGCTAGGGCAAAACAAGGCCTTAGCTCAGGAGAAATATGACCTGGGCTGTTGCAATACATGGTGTCAAAGCTCCCTATTTCACCATATTGGTGAAAGAGATCAATTTTTAGGTTGGATCAGGGATCCATATAAGCAGATAGGTGCCTCCCATACTGCTCCCCAGGGATCTGGAAAACAGGCAAGGCAAACAGTGGGCACAGGGACCAAATGTGTGACAAGGCCATCTAATAAACTGTCAGGTCTTATTGTGTCGATACACTGATTCCACCATTTAAGGTTTGCCCTTTAACCTTACAATGCCGAGAAATTCAGAGGCACCTATCTTTCAGACAATAGGTCATTCTAAAGTGATTTGGCAGCTTCACAGGGATGCCCTGTCAGTGTTTAACCCCTGCCTGGTTACCTGCAGTGTTCTGCTGAAATTTGTCTCGTTGTTATAGCAAAACAAAGCCATATCTCATTTGTCAGGATTACTTTTTGTTGAAACCTTTTTGATTTATGATATTGGAAATGGACTGGTTTATGATGGTTTAAGCTTGGCTCCTAACACGTGGCTGCATTGACTGCCTATTGATCCAGAGCTGTAAAATGAAATGCTTTGTTTACAATATAGTGAATAAAATACTAATCCTATAAAACAGTGGAGAAAGCACTGGAGCAACTTTACAGTTTTACAAAGGATATGAAAAAAGGCACAAAAAGTGTTCACATTTTTTTCTTTCATAAAAAGCCCACCAAATAGAATTAAACCATTTGTTTTATTCAGGACATTTCAATAAATCTCTAATATTTGTTTTTTCCCTCTTCATTGTTGAAGCTTTATTAATGTTTGCATTCATAATGGATTCCCAATAAAAGAAAAAGAGGTAGACAGTAGCTAAAGGCACATTTGCCACTAGAGGGTAGTATCTTATGGATTAGATGTTAACACAGTGAGAGCAAAGCAGTGTTCAGACAATACAATTTGTGTCTTAAAACTTTAAATATTTTATAATTAACTTTTTTTGTTTAATACATTGGCATTTTTGTTTACTTTAAGATTTTAAATCCAGCCAAATATATTCTTGTTAGCAGAACAGTCTTCATTTGGACTATGTAGTTCACCGTGTTACATTTGTTTCACATTAAAAAAATAAAATAAAAAATTTACGTTTGAGGATTTCATTTAGTCGAATAAGATTTTCCTTCCAGGGACAAACCTGTGACACTCAAATCAGAAAATGTTCTATTTCACATATATAATAGGGACAGAAGCTACCCTTTTCCTTGACTGTTTAGAATGATATAATGACAGCCTTAAAATTAATTTTCAGTCTCAATGTTGACCTGAAATTGAATGTGATTCACTGACAGCATAATTAAGAATCGACTATAAACAGCGTGTGCTTCAATAGAGGCAGGAACATTAAAGACAGATTCTTAACCATCTCCCCACACACACAGCTCAGACAGAAGAGAGCCACATGGGCAAACCTGTCTGGATTTAAACATCAATTTAGATTCAAACCTGTTGCTAAAAGCTGCCTACTTTATTTGATGGGAAGAAGTGGGTCACATATGTTTGCCCTTGCAGTCTTTCCTCACATTGTGGAATGGTGGGGCCCCAGCTGCAGCATCAGGGTTTTTAATGAAAATTCAAGGCAATAGAAAACAGGTGCAATCCAGGCTTACATTTCCCACTGCTTTGTTAAGAGCGACAATAGGACATCGGAGTATGATTTTTAGTGAGTCTAGTGAATGGCTCGGAGGAGTGTGTCCATCACTCAGGCCCAGGTATCTGATGCATAGAGACTTGCATCTATCCAGTGGTAGCTACTGACTGAGTGTAGTAGACTGAGTGCTAAACTGTTGCTCATCATGAATGTTCACTGATTGCAGTTGTTTTGATTGTCTTGATGTGTATAGTTCATAACATTTCATGTGATTATACTCTCTTTTATGGCATTCTTGTATACAGTAGCTTGTATGCATTTTTAAAGCTTATTAAAAATGTTGAAATTACAATATTTACTCCTGCAATTTACAAATCTGGTCCAGATTACAAATACATACATACATACATGTTTTGAACTGAGCTTTTGAGCTATTAATGTATGATTCAATTGACAAAAAACTAATCATGAAGAAAAATTATGACTGAATGATTCATCATTTTGATTATTTTTCAAACAAATGTTGCAATATGCAACAATTTTTTGTCTTTTATCTCTGTAAACTGAATATCTTTGGACTTCACTCATCACTTTGGAAAATGTGATGGGTCCTTTTTCAGTGTTTTCTTACATTTCCTTAAAAAAATGATTAATCGAGAAAATAATTATGAGATTAATCAATAATGAACAGAATAATTTTTTGGCTATGACCTATGTTTCACCATATATTTTAATTGAATACAAAAAAAATATAAAAGACAATTACTGTTTATAGTCAGATGTCCATGTGTTAGTGGAGATAAAGTGCTCAGGTTACAGAGACTGCAGGGTTGAGACAGGCAGCGATTTGCATTCAGTGGCAGGAGCGTTTACTTTGACAAATAGGAACAGCAAAAGGAGGCAGCCGACTGCCACTTAGTTATTAACAACTCCTTCACTAGTGATTTATTTGCCACTTTTGAAGAGAGGGCATAGCTATTAGGTTATTATTGGGAAAATTAGCCCTGTTTAAGCAGAAGGCTACGACCATACCTGACCCCTTAATATACTTATAATGACGCCATTTACCATACATATCTGAACTTCGCTTCTCATCAGACCTGAGCTAAACAAACTAGCCCAGGGCAGACTGAATCCAAGTACGCAGAGAAGAATCTACTTTGTGCACGTGTCACTCCACAACTGAATTACTTAAATCTGTCGAGCACACACCATTAACCGTGTTTTCCTTTCCCCTGCCTCTCAACATGGATAACATTGTAAGGATTAAAAGGTACTGACCCTTCTCTTTATAAGGATTGGTGGGTGAAATACTTTCCATTTGTTCCATTTTTGTGATTAAATTGCAATTATTAAGTTTATAGTGTCTATTTTTCTCTGCTGTGACACAGAGTTCATGATGTCTTGTTTACAGGTGTGGGCTATTGATCTGGACCTCACATACAGTGACCAGCTGGCCATGACCCAGATGCTTCTGATGATGACTAAAGGAACGCTGAATTGCCGCACAGGCTGTTTAGAAGTGCCAATGCCAAGCAGAGAAAAATGCTGTGAACACCAGACTGCAGCCAAAGTACAATTTTATATTTCTTATGATGAATGTTTTGATCATGTAAAATTTTTCTTAAAGATCAGACGTTCGATTTTAAATAGTATATTTGAAGTTGTTTGCAGTGTTTTTTTCTCTCTCGAAATTATGTTGTTAATTTCTGTCGTCAACAAAAAGGAAACCACTAAAGTAAGCTGATACTTTAGAGAATATTATTATAGCACCAATGTAATCTTGGAGCTAGATCAAGTTTTGCTCCTCATTTTTGTTAAATACAACTAAATACTGTAATTATGCACTGAGCTCAATTGGTGTTTAGGTGCTGAATTCATTATCATTTTGATAGATGAGCCTAAATAATCAACACATTAATAATTCATACCATTTTCATTATGCATGTGTATGCATGCTTGAACACCTCATCAACCTGGTGCCAGGCCTTAAACAATAGGCTTCTTTTATTAGCAGTATGCCTGAGTTTACGCTTGTTAATCTGCGACTTGTATTATTTTATCAAACATTCATTTAGTTAGTGGCCTGGTGCTTCAGTACAGCAGTTGAGCCACTGCAGTGGTTAATGGCTTTAGCAGTGGCCATCATTAGGGGCCTGCATATTACAAACACAATTAAATCCCTGTTGGACACTTTTATTGTTGTGTGAGGGTCCTGTGTTTGACAACTGCAAACACACAGCCGTCACAGCGAGTTATGGGCTATCTCCTGAGCTCACGGGCTTAGGCCTGCGCATTTTGTCTCCCAAAGGTGCCAGAGAACCAGGAACATTTTTATCCTCTTGAGCCCTGCCACTTTTAAGTAATCAACCTCTCTAGCGTTACTTATGACACTCACATACACAGAACCCCTCTATTACGGTGATATGTATTGTGTGCTGAGTAGCCTATTGTGCATTCTGTATTGCTTTTGTCTACAATATAATGCAAACATTTGCAGTTCAGAAACTGTCATTTCTTTGATTGGTGTTGTATAATTGAGCACATCTTGTGTTTTGGCGTGTTTTGTTAATTGTTCCTCCGTGCAGTTAATTAAAAAAAGGCTCAACAGTTTACTACATGTGCCCCACACTCATGTTCACTAATCATACTCACTCCCCAAACTCAACAGTGACCCTAAGGACATGTGTATGGGGTTCAGCCATCTCTACTCTACTCATTTTACACACACCACCATCTCTTATACTTAAGCCCCAAATGTAATAGAGCATAAAAGGATTTTGTCCGATTTTAGATTAACAGACGGATTCATGGCATGGTGTCTCTTTCTTGTTTTCTTACCTTTTTACAGCCTCCTGTGGTTAATCGTTATGCAGTTATTGGGAGCCGCTTGTTTCACTCTAACCTTTCCATGTTGTACCATAATGTGTTCTTTAAGATGTGCAAGGCTCATGGCATAAGATTTAACATGAAGGTAAAAACTGTCACAATTAACCTGTTCATGTTTTTGTCATTCTTAAATCTTGTTCCTTTTTTGCAACAGTATACTGAATCATTGATTTATTTTTACACTATTTGATGATGAGCATTCTTCTTTTGACTGTGTGTTTGTGCCTCTTAATTTGCAGAGGAAGCAGGGCACCACCTTTGCTCTTTACGACAACAGTGAGCGATGCAACATTGGAATGATGTAAGTATTTCGTATTGCATCAAATTCATATACATACTCTTATTGATGAACTTTATCTCCAGGAGAAAAAGTTCTGAGCACATTAAGGTTTGTTTTCTATGTTCAAATACACCCAGCGCATGAGAAAACAGTAGAGGATTGGGTGGATAAAAGACTTCTCCGGACTGAGAGTAAAGACAATTCTTTCAGAGGATTAAGATGCCACCTCTGTCTTTGTAAATGTTGTTACAAACTCTGCAAGTTGTTAAGCAGAGGCTTATTTAACATATTTATCACACAAATCCTTTAGCTTACACAGTGCTGTAACAGTTAAATCAAGCTGTGCTCATCCCCCTAAAGACTGAAGATGTTGTCTGCTGAAAGTTTCATTTAACCACCACCATCAGATGAACAAGGTGATTGTTTCTTAGCTGGCAACATGGGGATCATTAGTAAACTCGTTTGTTTGGGCTGTTGTTAATAGAACAGTCTCTGAGGATCTCCAGGGAGCTCTGGTGACCTTTGCTCGGAATCTGTCAGTCATTCATCAGGAAATATCATCCTCTAAAATGCAAGGAGAAACCAATTTCAAGGTACCATGTTAATGACTTAATGATCTCTCCTCATCTATATCATGAAACTTGCATGTTCAGTGAAGCAGCAATGCCTTTTCTAAAGAAAGTGTAACCAGTTAATTTTTAGAAATATATTATAATAGCATGAAAGATTGTACTCACATGGAGTAATTGTGAGTAGTAGTATTAAAAGTAGTAGTAGTTATTTAAATTCACCTGTTTTTTCTTTTGTTTTTTGGAGGAGCTGATCAAGGACATAGACGATGTACTGCAGATGACTGTTCAGAACAAGCTGCGAGCGGTGAAGGATAAACCTGCTGCTTAGACAGCTGCTTCACCGATAAGCTTGCCTTGTTCTTGCCAAGTTAAGTCACCGTGTCTTTGTCAGCTTTAATGTCACAATACGCTGTGAATATGTGAACCCTGGAGATAAATCAATGTTGAGCAAACACAGATTGCCAAATAAATACCTGAAAAGCATCGTCAGAATCTTTTTCTTTTTTTCTCGTTTCTAGTTTCAACAGTCTGAATAAACTGTCCCTTAATACTGGAAAACAAATACAGTAAACTATTCACTATTCCACACAAGGGAATGGGTCAGCTTGTCTGTTCAAGTGTCCATGCTTAACTGCATAAAAGGCTGTTTCATTTTGCACTGTAGAGTATCTTGACTTTGTGCATAGATAAATACTACATAGATACTAGACATGCTGAGAAGTTCCATAATACATTGCCGCTGTAAACCCGTGGCCATACCTTACTTTGGTCAGTTGGGAAAGTGATTGATGCTGGCTATAATCTGATTTTCGAAGGACTTCTTTTGTAAGTTGACTATATTTATTTCTTTACTACTCTATTATAGCTTGTAGTGGGAAATGTAAAATAAAATGTTTTTGGAAATGCAGTGGTCTATTTGTTGAAAATGCAGTCAAATGCTAACTTTTTAGAGTTTTAGCCTGGTGAAAAGTCATTGTGATTTTTTATTGTTGTCTGATTACTTGCATTACAAATAGTAGCACATATTAGTCACTACTGCAAATATTGCATATGAATATTTTATAATAAATGTACACATCCAGTATAACATTTGCAACATTTTACTTCAAGGGTCTGATGAGGTTTGCAGAGTTGAGTTGGCTTGGAAAACTAAAAGCTTCACTGGTTCTTCCTGCAACCCTACATCCAGAGAGGGACATGAACCTGAATGAGACATTTCTCACGGTGATTACTTAATGTTATTTGTTATTTTGCATCGCCAAGTATGTATATAGATTTTGATTTTATATGTTTCTGCATTTATTCACAATTTGACCTAAATGTTTAAGACAGTGATCTACACATCTTAAGTACTTTGTACTTAAAGGAGGATGTGTTGAGGAGGTGTTCACACTTATTACAGCTGCGTTCTGTGCATGAGAAAAGTTTTGAAAGAGGGATTATTTGTAGTAATTTGAGTTAGTGTCTGATAAAGGAGTTTATCTAATGTGTCTTTAAATAATGACAAAACCGGAGGGAATTTTCACACAGCAACGTGAAAACGAAGAATATTTGTATCAGCAACATGTTTTTGTGAGAAAGTTAACTTGTGAATAACTTAAAAAATGTTAACGATGGAAGCTAATTTGTACTTATTGTGGTTTTATAGGATGGCCTGGTCTTGAGTATACTACAGTTTGAACAGTCTCCACGAGACACAGGAAGAATATCCGGTCGGTGAACAGGTGAGTACATATAGTTGCTGGTGGTAGTGGTTAGTTCTGTTGAAGGAGGAACAAGTGTGCAGCGCTGCGTTTCCAACCGGATGACTTTAGCTGGAGTACCAGGTCAGAGCAAGAAGCACTACAGAGCTACTGCAGAGGAGAGCTACTCCTTTCACAGGTCTCTTAGCTGGTTAAGATGAATTGTGCGTGTGTATTCAACATGTGTATCCGGACGTGTAGCTTTGTGTTCAGAAATGTGTGTTAAGCTCGCAAAGAAGGGCGGTCCTGTTTGCTAACTTTAGCTCACGTTAGTTTATGTACTTTGTCTAGTGTGCAGCGTCGTGCTCCTCTTTTCACTGCTTTTAATGGCGTGTTGTACATAAGCAGGTTTAAGGTTCCGGTATATTTCATCTATGGCTTGCCGGAGAGGCATTTGCATGCAGAGCAGGTGATAAAATACAGGGAGCAAAGAACCGCTCTGCTTTGGTGCACAAGTCATGAAGGAGTTTTTGAGGAAGATACACAGCATCTTTCTGAAGATCGCCCTGTTTCCGAGCACATTTGGCCGGACTGGCCCGCGGCCACCTGCCTCAGAGGTGCTGACCTGTCACCTGCTGCAGCGTAAACTCCCGCCTTGGACCTCATACTGTGTCCGCTACAGCTCGGTCCACAATGACCAGTTTGGATTGTCCAACTTTAATTGGAGAGTTCAGGGATCCAACTACCAAATATTGAGAACAGGCTGTTTCCCTTTTATAAAATATCACTGTACCAAAGCACCTCCACAAAACCTGGACTTTGAGGACAAGTTTTTCACCATGCTAAAAGTGATTAATCTAGGTCAGTAAATACATTTAATACTCACTCCTATGAGATACTGATTATAATTAAATTTTAACACTGCAGACACTACATAATCACCCTGTACTTTGTATTGCAGGCATCCCTTGTTTGGCCTATGGCATTGGTTGCTGGATGGTTGTGGGAGCTGCAGAAACAGTGCAGACAAGTGTTGGACCTGTCACAGTCTATTTTGCCTACAAAGAAGATGAAGGCGCACAGTATTAAACACTATTTTGAATGCATCTTCAAGAGAGTATTAGCTAAGTAGCTGCTGTATTTACAACATGTCCCCCAGGTGATGTTCTGTTGACAAAAGTCCCATCCTGTGTCACTAGTGCTTCTATTGTGTGACAGCACAGGGTCATTTGTGTTTAATTATTAAAGATTTAAAGTTGCAATGGAGGAGTCATTTATGCCTGTTATTGCACTGACATACAATACTGGCAGTGTTTATTCAGAAAGCTAACTTTCCATTAAAATTTAATGGAAAGTTTAGGATTTCTCAAAGAATAGACTGTTTGACACAGTGTCTTTTCCTCTGTTTCATTTACAGCCTGCAGTAAAAGTCTGTTTTTACACAGTTAATTGTAAGTTCATTTTTGCAACAAATATAAAATAGTATGCAGAGTGACAGTGCAGGAGACTGCATTGGTTTTTATGCCACTTCAACTTAAGATTGTCAAGATCAACTCTTGAAAAACAGACATTATTTCTTGCAATGCCAATGCTTAATATAATATATAATTTATGTCTTTTGCTTCATTCTGTGCAACAATTACAGGAATCTAAATAACCACAGCTCATTTACTTAAAGGTAAATTAGTGATCACTCTCCATGCAACAGATAGTCAATAGTGTTAGAGGAAAAAACAGTGACAAGACAGGTCTGATAAAATAGGTTTTAATTACAAAAGTGTGGCCTTTGTATAGAGACATCTGCATCCCTTCCTTCAGGCCTTCTCTGGCCTTTGATTTCTGGTAATGTGCTTTGCTGACAGGGCACACTTACCTCTGCTGCAGAGTCCTGCTCCCTCCGAGAGACGGGTTGACAAACTGCCATATTGATTTCTTCACCCCTCAGCATCTCCTACTAATAGCATTTATCAGCGACCTCAATTTTCTGGCCTTGGCCTCTTGGTTCTTAGCAACAATGAAACTGAACGAATAATTTCTTGTTGTACATGTAAATCAATGCACCTTTTGACCTTTCTGCACTTGAAAGCTCTGACTACATACCGTTCATGATATACAGCTTCTTCATGAGTCGTATTTGCACGTCCTATGCAGGAACATTTAAATTTGGATGGATAATTTAATATAAAAGACTATCTAAAATTATTAAATGTTCTTGTAGTCTTAAAATGGGAGATGGGATATTTGTAGGCTTAACACTTACACTATCATCATCACCTCACACCCCCCCATCCAAAAATGTCTCTAATTCCCAATTCAGATATGTAACACATATTAAAGGTCCCCGCATGTACAGTAAGTTGCACAGCCCTTCAAAAAGAACAGTCTTACATATGTTTTTATTGTAAGCAATGTAACCTTTGGCGTATCTTCAAAATTTCTAAACCTCATGCAGAATTCATGCGCAAAATCCCCTTAAACAGTGTGATGACACCACACTATCTCGTAATCATACTAATTGCTTTGAACAAGGAACATTTAGACACACTTATGGAAATCTGATCCATAGTATCAGGCTGCACTTAAATCCTCCTCCTTTCATTTCCAACCTTTCATCAGGACTGAAAGTGTGCATGGGGAATGCTCAGGCAACCATGTCTTAATTACTCATTGACCCTTTGACCCACGAGATGCATTGATACCACCGTACAGCCAGACACAATTGCATGGGGTTGCAGCTGACTGTAGCTTTGTGTGTGGCTATTACAGGATGATGCGAATCAGTGAAATCTAAACTGTGGAGCGGGCGAGTACATTGTATTTGTTTTCAGGGCTTCACCTTTGAGGCACTCTAAACTGCAGGGGAGGGCACCCCTTCAGCCCGGGCAAAGGCTTAGCATTACACATCAAACCTCTCTCACCACCAGTGCAGGTCTAGGGTTATCTGGGCGGCAATAAACTTCTGTAAATCACCTAAATATATCTGCATTTGATGTGAGATTGATGCCTTTTAATAGGTGTGATAGTCTAGTCCTGTATTGAAGGGTGTAAATTACCCAACACATTTAACGTGGTAATGAACAAAGAATTAATGCCTGTTTGTCGAGTTTAATTGCATGCTGGAGCTGGTAATAAGTTTTGTCAAGGTGAAATCTTTAAATACTTGTACTGTTAAGAATTTAGGTAAGTAAAGCAAAACAAGTGCTGAAATTGAGTGTAGTGTTGCTGTAAATTGTTAATGTTCAACAGTGAAATTGCTAATCAACTTGCAGAGACTTGTAATTATCTTCTAATTAGCTAATAAGTTCTCAGTTTCTTAGTATACATAGTATAAACCATGTTGATATCCTTGAAACAGTCGATGCAGACTATTGTTAAATCAATTATTAACCAGGAAAGTCACACCAGTTTTTTCTCTGTCATATAGATATATGGCTTGGCAGAAACAATTATTGTGTGAACAACCCCTGCAGCTAATGCTGGTGAGGTTATCGTTATTAAGCCTCTGGATCGGCCACCAGCGCCGTCTCTGTGCTTGCTCCGCGAGCAGCGGGGGTACGAGAGCCATCAGTCAGATCACTTTAAGGATCACGCTGGAATTGCATCTTAATGCAAAGGTGTCAGCAATGTCAACATTGTCACAGCCATCTTTGTGAAATGGCATTTTTTTTTTGAATTATAATGTGACATCTGAAACATGTAGCTCATTACTTTTTGAATATAGAAACATCTCCAGCTGCAGACATATGCACACTTTGATCAGCTCCGAAAGAGTAATACTCAACAAATACTCAAATAAGTTAAAGAAGCAGTGTGAGGTGCATCAAACATTTTGTTTTGTAATTGCTAGAAGATGTTGTCAGTAGTTGATAATTGCTGACCTCTTGTCAATGACACTTGAAATATTTTTCTTTTGGTGGGAGATAACGTTCTGAGGCCATTAAAAATCTATTAGGGTGTTTTTCTTCACCCAAGGGATGACAAGGGGCATTGTAACTCATTTCTTTACATCCCCTTTTCCTTCTTTATCTTAATGACATCTTGTATATATGTAGGGGGAGGGGAAGTATTGAAAGAGTATGCCTGCTGTGCCAATCATGTTGCCAAAGCTACTGTCAGTGGGTGGCTGAAATGTCTGTCAGTCATCTCTTCTGGCAAGACCACTCCCAACTCACATTAGGACTAAGTTGCAATGAGTAGAAATGCTGGACAATTTCGACAAGGTCTCTTATACTTTACTTCACATTAAAAGCGTGATAAAAATGCTAATTTTGTATTCTCAGAGTAGATCTAAATTTATATAGTTGAATATATCATTGTCAATGCTTATTCTGTGTTTAGTTGACGCCCTTAAGCTTGTGCACTTAACTTCATGCCCACATCCCTTTTTTCTTCCAGTTCAAGTTGATTATTGCTTTGTTTTTCTTTCTCGTTGATGATGTGGTATCAAGTTCACTTCATTCATACTTAATGCTTACTCTGTTGACATTAAGAGAGTAATGGATTTTAATAGTTTTTCCATGACTTATCGGGAGAGTTAAATGAACTATCCATTTTTATTATATATTATGCAGTATTTAAAGTTTCAGCTCATTAAAAAACAGACGCCCTCCACACCCCCCAGGCTGTCTTTTACCCCCCACCAGCATGCAGTCAGGCTCCTCTAGCCACAGGCACTGCTTGATCTGTTTTTCCTAAGTCAAAATTGAAATACTCAGAAACATTTATTTATTTGTTTATGCCTTTTCTTTCACCAAAGAACTGCCTAATGTCTTTCTAGCTTAAACAAGCAGCATCAGTGGATCCGAAACGGGGCATAATGCATGGTTTTGTTTGATTGATATAATTGGTTACATTGCATATACTGTATGGCAAAATATCTTATATATAAAAAAATACTGCATGTACCCAAATTTTGCACCAGAACAGGCCCCTTGTGTTATTTGATTTCCTTGCTTCGTACTTGCACAATGAGCAGCTGCCTACACAGCAACTCAATACTAGACTGGAGATTTACATTAAATACACTAATACTGATGCTGCATACAAACACAGAAATGGAATAAATCAATTTTGTTCTCAGAAATGCCTCACATACTTTTTGATGCAGTGTGATCTCCAATCTTTCTGCAAATGAGCTGCAGTCCCTTGTAATGGTTTCTGCTCCTCGTGGGAGGTCGGTGTCTCAGAAAAGCTGCTGATTGAGGGGGAAATGTAATACAGGTGTAAAGCAGACTTGATAGGGGTCTTACACGAGGGTTATGCATTTTAACAGTGATATACATACTGTTACATATTTATCAAAGAATATGGAATTTGCTGGGTTGACTCTTTCTGGCCTGCAGAGATTTGTAGGTTTCTGCCAGAGTGTTGTTAATTCAGGCAGAGAAGGTGGCTATTATGTTGAATTAATCGGAATTAAGGATTTAAATTGGTTAAGTAAGCACTTCATTAATTGTGACTGGATTGCTGTGTGTGAAGGGGTTTACAGATGGTGAAGACTGCTTGTATTTGGATGAAAGAAAAGGAGGTTCTGAATTCAAAAGCTGGTTGGTGCACAGCAGATGTAGACGAGAAATCCCAAATATATGTTAATCGATATCGGCATATATGTTAAAATTGATTCATCATTTCAGCCATTTATCACTAAATAGTAAAAATACGCTACAACCCCTCTGGTTCCAGCTCCTCAAACAGCAGCATCATAGAATACCTTTTGGTTTTGGACGTTTGGTGGGACAAAACAGGACATTTGAAGACGCAATCTATTTTCTAATGTAACTTAATCATTATTATTATGCATTTTAGCCAGTGTGAAAGTAAAATGCTTGTAGAACATCCCCCCTAACCCCCCTCGCTCACTGCATATCTATGTCCAAGTCTACCTGAGAGACTTTTGTACACATTGTATTTTCCAACTTTTACTACAAGCCACCGACTGAAAATTTAGGGGTTTAATTTAATTAAAGGCTCTCTTCGAATGCTGAATCCATTAACCAGTGGGTGAGTGTTCGATAATGTAATCTTTGGCCTTCTGTTTGGACATGTCATTACCTGCTGTAAGTGAAGTTATGGCACGGGTCATTTGGAAGCGACTGCCTTACTTGACGTGCCTCCCCCAGTAGAGGTGGACTAATTGAGGTGTGTTTTTATCTGGGCTTGCTAATGATGATGAGGGTACAGGAGAAGTAGTCTGTCCCCTTAGGCTGAGGAATAGCATGACTTAGCCAACCTTCTGTACTTATTGTCCAACAAAGGGGGAA